ATTTGTCCCTGATCTTGCTGTTTTTCCTAACTAGTGTTATGTATGACAGAAGCAGACATACCATTGGAAGGATTGATTTGCCTTCACTTGCATGCTTAGAAATTATATCAAAGGGTCAGCTTTTTTTAATTAAAAAAAAACTCTAAAGGACTTGTTTCACTCAGAGATATACCTCTTTGGGTGGTTTGCCCTGAGAAGGTGTTTGTCTGCCTCTGCTACCTTTGCTTTTGGCTCCTGTCCAGTCTCTGGCAACCAAGGTTAGGACAGATGAGTTGAGATAGATAGAAAAACTGTTTCATTTGGTTCAGGTTTAATTTTTATAATATACTTTTCTTTCTCCAAACTTTGAAAGAAAGCTATACTCCTTAAGGATGAATGGAAAGCCAGCTCTTGTTCCAAGAGTTTCTAAGCATGCTTAAGACGTTTACATTTTGGTTCCAGTGGGGGCTGCATAATTGAAAGAAAAGTTCCAACAACCCCTGCACACTGTGACCTGAAGCAGAGCAGCCACAGGGAGTGCAGTGGATACCCTTGCAGGAGACTAGAGCAGAGGATGAACTCTGGGAGCACATCTAATACTCCTTGGCCACTGATGGCTGTTGCCATGGGAGCAGTCTGGAGCTAGTTTGAGTTAAATTCCTTATGAAACACATTTAGCCATGTGATGTAATAGCTCATAGCACATAATGCATCAGATCCTCTGCCTCATGGGTTCCACTCTCCTGTGAGACAGTGCCACTTGCTCCAGCTCCCTTGCAGGGACCAGGGAGCTGCTTGTAGGAGAGAACAGAACCAAAATGCTTGGTAGAATGATGTGATAGAAGAAAGACAGTGAGGGGACAGTATGTGCTGAAACCTGTTGGAAGTCTTTGGTCTGCAAAGCAAATTATGAGAAAATCTTGATTCCATTCTTGTTTCTCTGAAGAAGCACAGAGCAGGCAGGAGGTAGAAATGCTTCTACCTGATCAGTTTATGCCAAATAATAGTTTTGCCTTCTAATATGATATTTCTTTATGGACTAACAACCACTTTGAGAATTATTTTTTCCCCTTTCTTACATTGCAGTATAAAGAAGGGCAGTTCTTGACAGCTCTTGACAGTTCTTGAAGTACTTTTTTCTTCCAAAATCTAGGTGCAGAGACAATTTGTAGTATGTCATACACCTAGGGATTTTTTAATCTCCCACTAAATATTTTCTCTGCTTTCTCTTTATCACCACCTGTGATTTCCTCTTGAATTTTATCCTTTACAAAGATGGAAAAGATGCTCCCATATTGTTTCCCAAAATGTGATCTTTTTTCAGTCTGTAATGATCTAGGACTTTGACCTGATTGTATCTAGTTCATCACACCTTTTCCTAATAGTAAGGACTTTTTTCCTCTATTAGTTGTAAGTATGGTGCTCTTGCTGTACACTGATCAATGCATTAAGTTCGGTTTTAACCTCTCAATTGATTTCACTAATTTCTTTTGGGAAATGGAGATGACTAGTAAGAACACTTACACAGAATCCTTTTATTCAAATATATTAATTTTTTAGTCCTCTTTCAAGATAACTATTGAATTAGTGTCACTTCACTGAAAACAGATGCTGTGCAATTATTGCCTTTCACATCAAAGTAAAGAATTCTGTCAATATTTGTTAAAAATTGATTTGTTTGGGGTAACTGTGATTGCTTGACTTTCTGCTGCTGTACAGAAGTCTTTCAGTTACAATTTGACAATTTAAAGTTAGAATGGTCATATGATAATCTGAATAAAGTATTTTTGGGACTTCATTCTCAAAATGAAGTCTTGTTTGAATTTGGGGGAATTATTTTAAAAATACAGTTTTGATGGTTTTATTAAAAGTTGTCTGAAATTGCTCTTGCATAAAAAATTTTGGAGGATTTTGTTAAAATTAACAATGTTTACTAAGATTTTGGATTAGATGAAAAGGAGATATATGTTAAAGATGAATACACTGGCACAGTACTGCTGCCCAGTTTGATGACATTTAAAAAAAGAAAAGCAGATTATAAGTTTGTCATTAAAAAGTTATATTAAACCTAATGAAATTTTGATTGCTCTGGAAGGTGACTTTTTTATTCTACTCTGTAAGAGTTTTCCTTGAAAGAAAGAGAGTATTTGCAGTAAAATTTGAACATTTTTGGATGGTGAAGCTCATATCCCAGTTTTTTAGTTCTTTCCTCTGTTTCATTGCAGATAACTGGCTCTACAAATACTTAAAGCAGAATTGCTAACTGCAATCCATTTTATGCTTAAGCAAATAACTTTCTGTCCACATGAAAAATGGACTTAAAAATGCAGAATTTTTCTGGCCCTGTTTCAGAGCCTGTTTGGACTTCTTTCTAAGACTTACCTTTTAAAACTCCTTGATTAAATATCTGAAACTTTTTCAACAGATTTACTTAAGTTGAAGGCTGAGTGAGCAATCTTTTTCACTTACATGAAATGTGTTTTGTCTTGCCTTAAATTAAATTAATTAGGGTAAGCCAGAAAAAATCCAACTTTGATGTTAATTCAATCAGTTTTCTATTTTAACTTTCTTTTCCCTTTAAAAAAAACCTGCTTGTTTGCTAAAATAACTTTGAAAATAGGCATAGTGTCTGGCTTTGCTTGTTTTCCTTTCAGTCTTCATTTTCTCTGTAACACTTCTTTAGTGCTATAAAAAATACCCTTTGATTAGTGCCCATCTTCTGCTGTTCTTGACATCCTGCACATTTTTTGCCAGTTTATACTTTTCATTTTCCCTGTCTTCTTTATGTTTTTCAGGGTGCTTCCAGTTCAGTACTTAATGCATTTGTCCTTTTGACATTCTCTGAAAGTCCTTTGCTTCTGAGTCATTTTCTTCTTTTCTATATGATTCTCAGAGAGAAAAAAACCTTTGTTGTTCTTATTCTTAGTTGACAAGGGGGCTGAATTGTTGCACTCATCAAGAAACTCTCCCTACAAGTACGTAGCCATACACTTGCCAAAAGAAAAAGACACCTTTTCTTTGGTTTTGCACTTTCTATTAGACCTCCACTGAAATACCTTTTCCCTTATTCACCAAAGATCCATTGATTACACCCTAAATATTTCTGAGTATTTGATATATTTTTCATTTATTTCCACCCATAACAGATTTTATTGTGGTTTTGACTTGTTTGGGCTATGCAAATTTGCTTGTTATGAAAGTTTTAGAGCATATTAAACTGGAAATGTAAACCAATTCCTGCAAAAATTACCCTTTCACTCAGAATACTTGTACATAAGTTTATGCTGTAGGCATAGAAGTACAACAGTTGGAAACAATGCAGTGGGAGTTTTCATAAAATGAAAGAAAGCTGAAAGACAGGGAAATCCTGGTATTGTGATGTTTATCAGTGTGAGAAAATTTTAAGAAGATATAAGGGAGAAAAGAAATAAGATAAAATATTGTATGTTGGAGAAAATTAATTGAAAGCAGCTGAATTGCAGAAATATTTAAGCTTTTACAAATGTAGTAATGTGAAAACATAAGGTGTTTTGGGTTTTTTTTAATATAAGCTTCTAGTCTAATCTGTACTTACAGACTGGAAGAAAACAATTTAATGATATGCATTCTTGAAGAATATATATATGCATATATCAATGAACTCTTAATTTAGTCATAGCTCTGCTTTTCATCAGAAAGTTTTCCAAACAGTTCTATGGCCTGAGGACAAAGCATTAAAATAAAATAGCTAAAACAATGTCCACAGAAATATTGATGAAAAGGGTGGAGCTGAACCAAATGAGCTGGAAAATGCTTTCTAGGCAGAACACAAACCTTTGTCACAATAAACATGTGCCTGCCTCTGGTGCTGGAGATAATAGGAAGTTGCATCAGACCTTGCACTTGCCTTCAGGTGATGTTGGAGTAGCAGTCTTTGTTCCCCGACAAGAGATTTCTTACATTAGGAAAATACAGATCTGCAGAACACACAAGTGATTTACTCCCTTGCAGGCAGAGTTTGCATGCTTTTCTTTCAGATACTATGGCACTTGTGCATTCCAATCAGCATACTCGAGTTACAGAGGTATATTTTGTCTTAATTCTGCTCACCAGGGCTAACAGGCAAATCAGAGTCATGCACGGTGGAATCTGCATTCCCCTGACTTGATTTTGTGAATTTGTAGGTGATGAAATCGCCAGACCTGCTGGCATCAGTTATTTGTTACAAGCTGCCACTTGGGAAATGTGTTTTCATCTCACTGTTCCTATTAAAGGAGTGCCATACTTATATGACTGAAAGATTTTTTTGTCTAGTTCTCATCATTATTTGTCTTGCAAATTTAGCAATTTTCTTCTCCTTTCCCTACTAGTACTCCATACCTGGGTTTGGGGCATCTAAAGTACATAAGCAACTTCATTAAAACAATTTCCCTGATTTTATATGATGCTAGGCTGGATGAAATAAGTTGGTTCAATATTCTCTCACAAGGTTGGCTTTTTTGATTGTTTGGGTCTCCCTCCCAAGTCCCCCTCCTCCATTTGAAGATCCTTGAGTCATCAGTCTGAAGCTGTGACCAGAACCACTGTGATTTGGTGAAAGGCATTACTAAAACATCCTTGTACAAAAAGCACTGTGATGTGCAAGAGACAGAAGTCAGTGAGCTGATTCCCAATCTCTTTAATGCAAAATCAACTTTGAATTTCTTGACTGTTTTTTACATTTGATGTGCAAATTTTCATACATTTTGTAAGTATTTGTCAACTCCTTCTGAGCAAATAGAGATATTTATGAATATTGGTTTAGTAATCCTATGCTGTTTTCTTGTTATTTTCTTATCTAATGTCTTTTCAAACCACTGAGCAATAAATCCAATCAGTAAGTTAATGATATACAGTTGACTTCTATAGCATGTGCCAATATTTTTTAATCATAAAACTTTATATTCAGTTAAATATTATCCTAAGACACACCGGGTTGAAAGTCACTGCTTTGCAGAAGCCATACTTCCTGCAAGCTGCAAATTAAGAAAGCGAGGTTCTAAAAACATCTCTCAGAGATGTGTAAACACAGATTGGTCAAAGGCACTTTGTGACCTGTACTAGGCACTTTCAGTAATTATTTTCCAAGTGAAGGCTTGGATTGTGCCATAGCCCATGAACAGACTCATCTACACCTGTGTGCTGTATTGCTTTGCCCTGGGGGATACTCAGTCATCCACAGGGAGTGGATGCCAGCGTGGTGATGGCTCCTCTGCTCTGCCTGGAGAAGTGTGCATCTCCAGCCGCTGGTGTGGAGACAGCGGTGATGGCAAACAAGGTGAGTCTGCTGGGCCTTGGCTGACGTGTGACACAGCTTGGTAGCCAAATGTGACAGCAGAGAGGACTGGGGAAGATGTTTTTGTGTTAAAAAATGTTTGGGAATTCTTTTTGGGGTTTTTTTACCCACTTCATTTTTTAAAGGAAAGTTTATTCCAGCTTTAGTTTGATTTTTTTCTTGTTTTTTTTTTTTTTCCCCAACATTTGTGAAGTTCAAGACTCTCATGAATCTTTATATGGACATTACATTGCAAAGCATTTTCTCAACCAAATCCAATGAAGATTCAGCAAGTAATAAATTTTGCCTTAATTTGTGGGAAACTTGTTTGATAGAATTCAGGTTTAATACAAAATACCTAGACCAAGGTATAAGCTACAACTTTTTTTTTTTTTTTTTTTTTTTTTTTGTCTAGACAAGGGTGGCAATTTTCTTGAATTCATTAACTGATTAGCAACTGATTATCCTGGTTTAATCTTTGTCACATGGATTGTGTACAGATACAATTGGTGCTGTTTCCTGTAAGGAATTGATCTAAGTGGTGAGTGAATTTCAACTGCTATTGTCTGATTAAATTTGAGCTGGAATTCTAGTATTTCCAAAATACTGTACTGCAAAATGGTGCTGCAAATAATTTCATGTCATGCTTTTAAGCCCAGCTGGAGATGAAACACCACAGTCACTTCCTTGTGTTGGAATGAGGAGGGGAATTGTAGTAAAACTTGTGTGTTGAGATAAGGAGAGTTTATTAATTGAAAATAAAAATCAAATAAAACAATGGTAAGGGTAATAATGGTAAATAGTAATGATAACAAAAAGGAAAAAAATACAAGTAATGTAAAATACAATTGCTCCCCACTCACTGACTGATGTCATACCTCCCCTTCCAGATCCCAGTTCAGCTGTGCCTCCAGCCAGCTCCTCCCAGCTTATATAGTGGGCATGACCTTGCTCCCCCCAGTTTTGGTAGTTTTCTTTTATTTTTACAGAATATTCTGAGTTGGAAGGGACCCTCAAGGACCACTGAATGCCATGCTTGAGTTCATGGCCCATATGCAGCCCATACCTACAACCTTGGTGTTATTAGCACCAGGCTCTGATCAACTGAGCCAACCCTGCAAACTCCTCACTGGCAGAGCCTGAGACAAAGGGGAAAAAATAAGTCCTTGCCATAGGATATATATGACTTAGCCAAAACCCAAAACATTGTGGTGTTATCAACACCACTGTCATTCTGAATCCAAAACACAGCACTGAAACAGCTACTGAGAAGAAATTAACTTTTCATTAGCTAAAACCAGGACAGATGCATAAGGTAGTCCTTTTCCTCAAGGACTTTTGTTCTGAGTCCAAAGAAGAGCTTGGATTTATCAAAAATTTTAATTCTAACTAAAAATATAAGCTAAGTTCTCCTACTCACTACGCAACAAAGGAAGCTACCATCTTTGTTGGGATTTTAAAATTTTAAATTTAGATGAGTCTGTGTCTATCTGTCCACGTAGCAATCACTGAATTTAGCTGAATTCTGTGAGAAAGAGCAGTAACTTAAAGCCAGGGTCTTCAAATTATAGTAGTGTGTCCAGCTACATAAAGATTTTCTTCCTCTGATAGGACTGTCTGTTTCATCCAAATAGGATGCAGAGATGTGTTTGGAGCAGGAGTCTAGAATCAGCTCTAGGATACTTGATTTTTATTTCTCTGCAAATAAGACAATTATTTAGACTGTATTGGATATCAGTACATTTTTGTAAATTTCCTGTGCTGTACAAAAATTTATTAAATGGCAATGGCTGGAATGCTTGTTGAGTTCCCTGACATATCTAACACATCTCAGGTTAACATATATTTTATCACTTGCACAAGAGGTGGCTATGCTAAGTTCTACTGCATAGCCTTGAAATCCTCATTGTGCTTGGTCTTGGTTTCCCTGGAAAGGGCATTTATTGCAGACAGCATTTTCTATTGTGATTGCAGAATATACAACAAGAGGTGCATTCTTCCCTTATCTTTTATGGAGGCTTTTTATGTTTGTCTGTTGAGGGAATGCAGCTATAGACAAATGCTTATATGAAAGCAGAGAATTAAAAGTTTCTCCAAAGACTAGTATAGAAAAATGAGCCTATGGTCTCTGTAAAAGCCCTAAATATAAAATTTTATTGTATTTCATGTGAATGAGCCAAAGGTGTTTAACTAGGCTTTAAAGGACAGGCTGTGTGCTGGGACTGCTTGGATAATGCTCTGGATTACATCAGGAGATAAATCAGCTGTCAGACATGAAGATACAGATCAGGCTGTCAAATCCAAGATTTGTCCTGCTGCCACTCGTTCTTGGGATTTGGGATTTTGTGAAATTATTTTTCTGCTTAGATTTCAGCTCTTGGTCTCATGTTGGTGACAGGTTCCTGCTCTTTGCTCAGATTTAAGGAAGCTTCGGCAGTTAAAAGAGATAAAAACTGGAATTCCAGTTTTTATTGTTCATTTGGTCTTCATACTGCAAAATATTTGCCAGGAAAGGAACGAAAACTAAATACTCTTAAATATATTTTGCTCCCAGAATATCCCAAACTGACATTTTGTACATATGGACATTTGAAATAGAACCTTTAACTGTAGTCTGTTCCTGTGAAACTTGGAATTTTCTTCTTAGAAGTGATATTAAATATTTTTGTTCACCGGAAATTTAGCAAAAATAATCTAAAAATTCCCACACATTTCTTCCTTCTGAACTTTTCCTTTCTAATCAGTGACTTTACCTTTGTAAATCTATCTTCCAGCAAGTTGACATTGATTTGCTTTGAAGTTATATTTTCTGTGAAAATGAAAATTGTCTTGGAAAATAATGATGAATTATTAATTTTTTAAAAATTTAAAATGGTACAATTCTTGCTATTTCATGCATAGTAATTTGCAATTGTTTTTTCAGGTATGAGAAAATTCTTGAAGAAATATTGACTGTGATTTGGTGCATCTCATGCAATGTCAAGCAGATCTATTTCAGCAGTGTTAGTGCTTTTGATGAACCTCTGATATGCTTTTTAGTCACTTAAAGATCTAAGGAATAAAAGCAGCAATAAAAAGCTGGTTGATGACTCAGCCAATCTGCACACTGACTTGAGCCTGGAATGCTTGTTTTTGTTATTTCTGTTTTCCCCTCTCTCACCTTGTAATTAATTGTTGCAGTAAACTGCTATGAATATGAAAGTCATGAAATTGAACATGGTAGTGTGACTATCAATGCTGCAGTTGCAACTTTATTTAAAATGACTAGTGAACTGTGATAAAACAGAGCAGACCAAAAGCATTATCAGGGGCCTGGAGCAGGCACCAATTTGAGAGGGAGGGTGAAGGCATTGTAGCTCTTGTATCTCACCAGAATCCCAATCAGAGGCAGAGTCTTAGCCACTTCTGCTGGGTAAGACAAAGGGCAGGGGAACTGAAATTTCCCACACAGGACACTAAATGTGGAGACAGTTCTATGTACTGGCAGCTCTGCTTGGGCTGAAATTTCAATGAGTTTGTTCTTTACAGCTGCATCTACTTCGTTTTTAATTAAATCCTTCCACCACTACAATAAGTGCTTCAAGGAATGGGGCTGTCCAGCCTGTCAAGCACATCCAAGCATTTTCATTCAGCTTGGATGTGATGCACAAAGGGCTATTTGACACCCATGCAAAAACAAACATCTGTCCCTCCATCCCAGAAAACAGTTTTTAATCTGGTCCCATACCTACCCCAAATTCCCTGAATGAGCTCATACACCAAACAGCTGTGTGCCAGAAAGGTTCTGCCTCCCTTTTCCAACCTATGCTGCTCTACAGGGGAATCTGGAAGGGGGGAAAATGTTCCTCACCACATTGTGACATGTACTGGAAGAAAGAGGAAAGGGAGGTGGGGACACTCTTCCATTCTGAGGATTCATTTTTGTCTCTTGTTTGAATGATGTAGAATGAAAAAAAAAAACCCAAAAAACCAACAAACGCTTTATCTCTGATTACATCCTGGTGTTAAGTCTTTGTTTTTCTATGCAAGAACTCTGGACAAATTCTTCACCTTAGAGCTGCAGTGTACTTTAAGAACAATCTCTGCATATAAACTATACTAGCTTGGAGATTTTCCTACAAAAAGGAAATACTACACACATATTTGTGATGAAAAGAGCATATAGTAATAAAATATAAATGGATGAGTTTGCATTTGGTTGTTTGGGTTTTTTTTCCAATGTTCATTCTCACTTGACTCTCTTCCACTGCGCTATTTCTCTTTGCTCATGATTTAAACATTCTGGTGTTTCTCGCTTTTTTTTCAGGTCCAGAGTATTTCTGTGTGTTAACTAAACAGCAAGTAATGGTGAAAAAATATCTTTTTGCTTCTGTTTGCAAGCTTTTAATTTTCTGTTTGTTTGCTTCAATTCAGGTTCCTCCTGGAACAACTGTGATTTTGAAACCAATCTATGCAAATTTCTTCCTGAATTCAATTTACAGCCTGGCTGGATAAGAAGAAATGGCCAATCTGGCATGGGACCACCATACTCTGACCACAATGGGAATGAGAGAGGTAAGACTCCTTATGTTCTTTGAGGAAACCATGAACTCTTACAAATTATGTAGTTTTCTATTTAATTTACTAATTTTTGCTAATTTCTTGATTGTTTGATTATCTTCTGCCACGTTTCCAGAGCACTTGCATCATTGTTTTAAGGCAATTGTAATTACAATAACCCAGAATTCCAGGGCATGAGAGTGGAGGGTAGGGGGGAGTAGAAAGACAGTATCCAGTAAGGAATTCTTGTTATCATAGAGGAGCAAGTTATCAGTTTCAAAAGATGTGTTTATCTACAGAGTGATCTTTACTTGTTTTGGAGATTTTAGGCTATAAATTCAGTCTTGCTGATTGAAAAGTTTAGAAATTTTGAGATGTATTTTCATGTTTTCTTGGACTGGTAAATGCCTGGAGTGTCTGTATCTGTCATGTGTGGCTGATATTACTACTCCAAATATTTTGAGAGAAAAGGACTTTATATTTGGAGACAGGATATGCTTTGGTAGTCTGTTTTTGAGCCAGCTTGTTTCTAAATGTTCTTACTATTCCACTTTACATTGGAGAGTGTCTCTCAACTAAGTAATTCATTTTCTGTGTCCTCAGACACAATATCCCCTTTATACTTGTTCTATGGCCAAATTAACCCTGCTTTTCCTTCTGTGATGCATACTGTAAAATAACAGCTGTTTGGTTCTCCATATTTTCTGTTATCCTCTTTCCCTTCATCTCCACCCACACCTTCTCATCTCTCCCAGGCACAAGCAGTGCTTTGGCAGCCCCCATGGTGAGCACCTGAAGGCAGGCATGCAAAGTTGGAGCTTGTGCAAGAAGATAATCCTATGTGGGATGCAAATGTTGTTGTGATTAGCCCAGGTGCTTTACACCCCATTCCCAAACTGTGATGATCTGGGAGTGTGGAAATCTGCACGGTTTAAAAGCAGCATCTCCTACACATTGCATAAGCCATCAAACAGGTAGAAGTTCCCTATAATAATGAATATAAATTGGTGGTTTCCAGGTGAATGCATGGAAAACTTGCTTAGAAATCAGCAGAAGAAAATGAAACCCAAATTTAACTTTTTTAATTGAAGAAAACAACAGTCAAAAACTCCACTCTGTTTTCCTGCAAGTTCTCACTTCACAGGGGACAATTCTCATGATACTCTGCAATTAGGAAATTTTATATATGTGATGTGCTTTTAGCAACTTTTTGCTAAAAAGTTTTTGCTTGTCTGTATCTCAGAAGCACATCCTGCTGTTTGTATTATGCTTCCAAAGATAAGGTTGCTCTTAAATAAGTTTTGATTTAAACCAATGTTGGCACAAAAATGTGAGCAGCTACCAAACTTTTTTTCATAAACGCAAGCTTTATTTCAAGCATGCAAGCTATGAAATAGTTTAAAATAATAAAGCTTTTCTCATTAGGAAACACATTTAAGAAATTCCCAAAGTTCCATGGAATATAAGTATAGCAAACTCTTGGCTAGAATCAAAATAGGTTAGCCAGGCAACAGTCTTGCTGTAGTTGAAGTTTCTAGAATTTGTGCATCATTGGTACTACATACCACATCAAGATGTAGTAAATGCCAAAAAGATACTCTAATAATCATAAAAAACTGGTAGGGAAGGGAAAATTTGACATATATACAGCCAAAGCCAGCAAAAGATTGAGAATCATCAACTGAAATGTTTGTTGCAGATGAAGCAAACTGTTCAGTCACCTGTGCTGTTCACATTTACTTATTTTGGTTCTTCAGTCACTGTTGTATCTGCTGGGTCTGAATTGTGCAGTGGTCATGTTAATCTAAGTTGTTTTATTCAGGTAGCAGGAGGCTCGAATACTTGTAGCTATTCAGCTTTCTGAGAGGCTGTGTACTCAGATCTGTGAACTGAATAGCAAAGGAGATTTAACTGCATTGCATTAATTTGATTTTATTTTTCTACCTGGAGAATGTCTAAACTGTACTTTCATTTTCTAAATGCTGATTCTAATCGCCTAGGAAATATTTATCTTCTTATGGCACTGAGTCGAGTTTTCCCACTGCTGGTGACTCAACTATGTAATCAGTTTTATGGTGGTTCCTACTTAAAAGCCATAAATGATTCTCTATCATTACAACTGAGCACAGTCTGCTCTATAGTAGGGTGTTAAAGGGAAGACTTCTTGCCATCAAGATAAAGCACACACATTAGCAGAAAAGCAAAGATCCCTTTGTATATTTAACTCCATTGAAGATTTATGTAATCACTTACTAGAACCCAAAATATTTCTTTAGGTCTGTCTCTCATGGATCTTCTTTTCACTGAAAAAGTAATTGAACAGACCAGTGACAACTTTAAAAGAACCCCAAAACAAAACACATCCTGATTTTGCTAGATTAAAATATTCTCTATGCAGAGGTCTAATGTGAAATACTGTTCAAAGAAGTTCTTAAAATTATTATTTCTTCCCTATCTGTGTAAAACTTAAAATTCCTGTGGCAGGTGAAAAATAATTTTTTTTGCTCTTAGACAGATTCATCTTTAGAGAACTAAGAGGAAAAAAATTCAAAATTTCACGGAAGCTAACATCTGATGGAACAGATTGGAGTCAGGGACAGGGCTCTGCAGAGACACCAAGCCATCTGCTGTGGGTAGGAGCAGTACCCTTGCAGCTGGCAGGCTCTGAAAGCTCTGCCTGAGCAGTCAGGAAAGGTCTAAAACCTGGGGGCAGCATGGCCATTGCCCTGGCAGCAGGCTGCAAAATGCTCCTCTGTGCAGATTGCTCAGCTGGCTCCAGCCCTGAGCTGGGCTGGTGGAGCTTCATCAAGGGCTTTCCAGTTCCACACAAGCATGAGAGGTCACTGTGGGTACTTTAATAAATTCAGTATTTAGATGTTTTGATCTATCCTCTGATATTTGGTTAATGTATGAATCTTTATTTTTAGGATTTTTTTCCCTTGAGTCCTGCTAGGCCTTTTTTTCTCCTTTCATTAGCATGTTAATGTCAGAGGACAACAAGTTACTTGACATTGTTTGGAGTTTCGGAAGAGGAAAAGAAGAGAAAGGAAGAAAAATAATTATAAATAGATTGTTTCTTTTTTTATTCTTTATTTTTCATCTTAGATCCTTAGCATCTAACATCTCTGAAATCTCTGTGTCCAGGAAGAGCCAAATTTTGACTTGCAGTACTTGATATCCTAAAATAGGATGGTTGCCTTACATCTGTTATAAGATCTGAAACAGTGTTGTCAGGAAGAGACACAATCAGTCACAAGGCATGGCAACAACCATAGTTTGTGGGAGAATTAGGAATTGTGGAAGATTAGGAATGTCAGCTGAGCCTCATCCCTAAAGGGGTGCAGCTGTATAAGACAGGTAAGCAGCACTGAAGGAGAAGAAGTGTGGAATGCTGATGTGTATTGACCAACCACAAAAGAGTAAAAGGGCACACAGGTGTTATACATGTGAGAAAGAAAGGTATAAACAGTTAGGAGGACAGAGAAGAAGAGAGAGTTTGTTGGCAGTGCTGTGAGGAGGAAGGGTCAGGTAGCAGTGCAAGGGACACAAAGGAGTTAGCTGCTCATGCAGGAGGTAGAAGGAAGAGAGAAGGAGTCAATGCTGTGTGGAGCTGCCTGGGAATTTTCCAGAGAAAAGGTATGCAGGTTGTTACTACAGGATGATAAACTGATGGTGTCAGTCAGTTTGAGACCACCATGCAGAGGTGCCCAGCACCAATGCCAACAATAGCTCACTGTCTCTTCTTGAACTGTTACATTTTCAAGTGGAACAAGGACTTGTTTTTTAAATGAAAGATAATGGTATCTTTAATGGTAGCTTTGAACTTTTTATATTGTGGATGTGTACAGGGATAGCACATCTTTCTCTCTGCAGCAAGACAATTTTCCCAGCAACCGGAACCCAGATACCATGGGTTTTCAACCTTTAAAAACATCACAGTCATCTCTTCCACATTCCACCACTTCCTCAAAGACCTGAACTGTCATGATAAATGTGTTTACACAACATTTAATTGTTGTTTACAGCAGTTGGCTGTTTAGGCATGAAATATGTAATCTACTCAATCATTGGAATTTAAAGTCTTTGGTTCAGCTTTCTGAGTTAGTCTCACTTTGTCCCAAGATGTTGCACTTCTAAGTTGAGTATTCAAGACATCGCTGCATGAAACATTTTGGAATCCTATTTGAAGTTTTAGCAGGAACATGGAGTAATACCATGACAATACTGAATATGAAAAAAAGCTTGGAGGACAACGGCTAAAAGTGCTATTAATCTTTTCTGGAGAAACAATTCCTGTTGGCTTTGTAGTTATTCATTTATGCCTGTGCATATTGCTCTTCTTGTGTTGTTGTTGTTGGTATTTTTCCAAGCTTCTAAGTTTTCTCTTTTTATTCCTTTTAATAGCTTATTTCCTCTCATTGTCTTCTGAAATGCAATCCACTTCTGCAGCTTTAAGGACAAACGTTTTCCTTCCAACTGATGAAGAACACCTTTGCCAGGTATTTTGATGCACATCCTCTATATTACGCTGTTTGCCATAGTATTTCCCTGGAATAATCAGACCTTGTTCTTTTTCCTAGGTTAGATTTCATTATTGGGTCAGTCAAATGAGTGGAACACTTATGGTGGGGCTTCAAAAGCACTCTGAAGATACTGTTACAAACATTTGGCAAGTTTCAGGAGAACCACGAAATCAGTGGAACGTAAATACCATTACAATCAATAGCACCGAAAAGTATGAGGTTAGTAAATTGAGGTTACTGTAAAGGACACTTCTTAAATGGTGTATAAATTGTGGGCCTCTTTAATAGGTCAGCACTAAATATTTTGTAAATGAAAAGAAAGTCCTATCATGAGGTAAACAAGAAAAGAGCCATTTTGAAGATCATACTTTGTATTAACAAATACAGCTTTTTCTTATCTCTTAATGGTGTTAAAACTGGCAACAAACTTTGCTTAAACTGTGTGTGTGTCTTAAATAAAAGTTTCATTGAGCCATAAATTATCTACCAGCCCATAGAGGTGATATACTTGTGATCTTAACTTTCAATACAGTATTCTCTTAGCCTCAGTCTAACTGGACTGATAAACTCAAGATTTCATTTATACAGGGAACTGCATTTTGTATCATGAGGTACTGTTTTATAGGGGTACTGCACGTGACAAACACTGTACTCAGCTATTGATTGCAGCTTTGAGTCTTTATCACAGAACACATGCAAATGGTTTAATTTTGCTCAAAGCTACTGAAAAGCAATGCAAATATCATAGGCTATTTAAATGTTTTTACATGTGCATTTACAAAAAACATTAGCACAGTAACTGTCACTTAGGGCTATAATATTGTGGATGATGTACACTCACTGCTATGCATATTACTGGAGAGAAAATGGGGAGCAGAGAAGGAAATGAGAGGTCTTTCCTGCTACAGCAGTTACTGTGACAAACCTGAAGGCATGGCAGCACCATCTCATTTCAATAAACCAAAGGAGTTAACATAATTACTTCCATATTGTGCTAAAGCATCCAACAGGATGTTGATATTTGAAGTAATACTGGCCTGCTCGACTCTTCTGAGAATGTATATTGCAAAATACCTGTACCCAACTCAACACAAGTATCAATGTTATTATTGGTCACTAACTCACCTCTACCTGATAAGAGTGTATGTATAGCAATCTGAGGTTGTGTTGGAAGGGTTTCCTTCTAGATTTTTTCATCATTCATATTACCTGGAAAACTGATTGAGTCTGGAAATGGTTAATATAATATGGCATCTACTTCCTCTGAATTGCTATGTCAAATCCTAATTAGATTATTGCTTGCAAACCTGGTTATCCTCTGGCCTCTATCAAGTGAACTGATGGGCAGAGTCCAGCTTTAAAGAGACAGGTGTCAAACTTACTGCAGTAATCATTACAATTGACTTAAGAAACACAGCTCAGCATCTCACAAAACTTAGAGTCTGAATCTGAGCAAATTTTCTTGTTTGCACATTTTGCTCCAGTGACAACTTGCAAGATATCTCTGTCATACAAGCGAATGAAATTCACTTGCCCTTTTGCACTTGTTCTTTTATATGACAAGATACTTAGCCTTCAGAGATACCTGTGGCATTTTTTCAAGATAAAATTCTGATTAATAATGTTTCTATGGAAAAAATGACGGAAGACAAAGAATTTTTATTTGTATGTACAAATCACTTTGAAATAGGGTGCTTTAATACTTTTGTCAATTTTAAAAGCACATTTGAAGTGAGGTTTTAGTTAAAATCTACCTCTGAACCTCCACTGCTTCTTTTCTTTGCTTATTTTGATGTTGACTGTTTAACACTTAAGTCTCTTCCTACTAAGAGTTTGGATTATATTTGTGGGATACAGAATTTAGTTTGGCATTTAAAAATCTCCATTTTATGGAATTCTGAAATAGAAAGATTGCCAGTGGTTTAACTACTGAACAAGCAGAAATCTCAGTACGTCTATTGTGGCTGGGTTTTGGAGAACAGTATCATGGTTTTCTCTTCTAAGCTGCTTTTCCTCTAATTTTCTGAGAACAAATTTGTGTCTCCCAGACTTCATGAAGGGAAAGGGTTCTAGGCTTGGGGTTCATTTGTGTCTTTGTGCTTGATTCCTGCTTTACTTTGTGCTTTACTGTTGTTCTGCAATCTGCTCCTGTGGCTGCATCGTGGAGTCATCCCAGCTAGTGTTTGATCCCACCTACAGTCCCACTGCACCTTCCATGCCACTGGAAGGAACTGCAATATTCATTTCATCTGGTGCTCGCAGATATTGCATAGATATAGATCATTGCAGTTGTGAGCAAACTCTGCCACTAAGTAGACTTTTTTTTGTTTTTGTTACTGACTTGTGAGCTTAAAGAGCTCTAGACTTTGTGCAAGAAGGAAAACTGAATGGTTCCTTTCTGGAGCAAACTTGGGTGTGAGTCACTTTGGTTATTATTGGACTGAACTCAGGGGACATCAGCTGGGGATCTGCACTGGATAATCTTGTTAGACACAACAACAGCTGGAGGCATCTAGTGTATTATCTTCTGGAGGCAGGGAAGTTGAGAGATTGTTCATGAGTTTTGAGGAAACACAGGTTCATACAGACTTTGTGTGCTCTGATGGAATGTGAACTTGAAGCAGCCTCTGCTTTTGCTCCAAAAAAGTGAGCTAGTCCCTCTATAGCATTGTCTAAATCACTTTATCTCAGTATATAATAAAATCTGTCTACAAAACCCCAACTCGAATCTATAGGTAGATATATATTTTAAATGAAGATATTCATGACAAAATTTTGAGATCAAAATGCAACATCACTTTGCGAAGGTAAAATATTTGTCAAATCCTTGACATTAAACAACGTTGCTGGTGTTTCAAATTATAAAATAGTGCACTATATTGTTTTAGCAACTTATCTGAAACCATGCCGTGATAGAAACAGAAAATAAGAATACACTGTTTGTACTCCTTGTGGCGATGCCATGAAAGTACACCTTAACTGCACATGCCCTTGCAGCAGAATACAAGAATTCAAAATACTGTTTCATGAAACAAATGAGCACATTTCCAAGATGCTGCATTTCATTCATATAAACATATTTTTGAATATGATATGGCTGCCATTCTTCTTGTGTAAGCCAACTTGTAGGTACAGTAAAACAAACAAAAGACAAAAGATTACACCACTCAAAAAAATTCTAATTCATAAAGTAACGGTCATATCATTGGATATGTTGTGTCATCTTGTACAGTAAAACACTCAGTTCTTGGTAATTTATAGGTTTTCTGCATCAGTCTGTTAAACTATGCACAATATAATTAGTGAACTCTCAATGTAATATTTGAAAAATTATTGGTAACACTGTGCATTCCTTAGTAAGAGCTAGAATGTACCTCTAGGTAGATTGTGCCTCCAAGAGTCTAGAAAATCCTGGAACTGTTTCATCCCAAGTCGTAGCTAGGGAATAATTTAAGGAATGTTACTCATAGGATTGATTTGTTGGGTTGCTTTGATTGGTATGTTTTTCTTGTGTTTTCCCAAGGACTGTGATTGATCATTCTGTTCCCTTGTACATTACCGCAGAAAACGTGCAATAGTCTGTACACTTACAAATGTGGATTGAAATCTGCCCTTAAAATGAAAAAGTAAAATATTTGTAACTTCTTGTGTATAGAAGACTTTGTTGGGGGTAAAAAACCCCACTGCTGTAACATTAAGCAGAATAACTGTCAACCAAGTACTCTTCAAGATTTATTTTGGCTTAAAATGTGCTGAAAGGCTTCTGAATAATGGCGTTTTTTTGCTCTGACTTTTCTCCAGGTTTCTGAGAAATTCTGAAATCAAGCAGAAAATGTTTCACATTTCCAGTCTCTGTTGAAATAATGACTTGATAAAACACAAAATCCTTTGTGTTCTATTCTTTAACTGTCATGATCCTTGCTTATGTTTTAAGGCATTTTATTGTGATTTTCAGATCCTTCCTGTTAAAGTCTACTTTAATCTTGTGTTAGATGATTGGACTACCTATCTGTGCCCAGATGAAAAAGCCACAGATTGTGAAAAAGCCAGGATGATAATCCTCCAGAATTGTTAAATGTGTAATTAAAGTTCTTGTATTTCCAATAGATATTTCATGGACTTGACTGGCATATATTGTGTGCTTTTTTGTTTTGTCTATAATACTGGCAACCTCTGTTTCTTGTTGATTTGCTGTTTATCTCTTTAGGTTATCTTTTCGGGGATGGTGGAGACCCAGAGACAAGGTGACAGTGTTGCCATTGATGACATTACCTTTAGTGAAGGATGTTCTATAGCATGTGGTAAGAATACCTATTTTTCAGGAGCCAGGTCATTTTAGTTTGTCTTTTCCTTGGATTAGAAGAGAAAAGACAATGGGTTGGTTTTTTGTTTGTTTTTTTCTGGTTTTTTTGCTATTCAAAGGCTTTTTAAACTCTGTGTTTCCATTTGGCTCATTTTCATTTCCCAAAACAATTGTCTTTTCACATCTAAACACAGTTACAAAGAAAGACAATAAATATTTTAAAAAATCTGATACATTATAAATGTAGGGCTCAGTGGGTAAAGAAGATCTACTGGTTTTGGCTGAAGAATTGGTGTGTTCAGCCAGCTCAGGCAAAACTCTGGGGCTGACTAGGAAGATTCCCAAGGCACTCATGTATTTCTGAATGCATGAAGGTCCTGATCCTCAGCTGTGCAGTGGGGTGATGCTGTTCTGCTCTGCTACATCCAAGAGCTGGAATGTCAGGCTGGTCATCTCTGCAGTCAGACCACCCCGTGTATCAGGATTCTTTAGCAAAACATTTCCTATTTCCCTTTTCAACCCAATGTGTTTTCATGGAAAAGGAACGCTACCCATCCTAGCATAAATTAAGTTGCTTGCTGCTCTGTGTTACACAAGAGTATTGCCCTCTGTCACCTATGTCACATCCTCAGGTGAGTGCAGTTTGGATTCAAAGCCCCTCCTTGGTTTTTCTTTTGTTTATTCTTGGCATGGGCACAGAGGGTTTAGACTTAAAACTTAACTCAAGATATGAAAAGCAGCATTTGACACAGACCAAGCCAGGTTACATGGTTGTTTCTGTGTGTACCATATTCCTAAATAATGCTGTCTAGATTTCCCCATAGGAAAAACTATTGAAAAGAGTTGCACATGGATATTAATATGTTAGAGTGCTAAGCAATATCAAGCAGATCACATTAAGAGCAAGATACAAACCCTAACTTAATGATGCAAGCAGGCATATATATTTAGATTTCTATTATTCTAGAAACCTATGTACTTGTTTAACCAGTTCCTGTGGTTCCTCTTGTTTAACCAGTTCCTCTCTCCTGTGGGAGATCTGTTTGTAAAAATAAGTTGAGTTTTTCAACAAAGTTCTTCTAAAACAACAACAAAAAAATCAAACCAAAAAATTCAGCTATGAGATGAAACACGGTCTCAAAGAGATGGAAAAGGAAAAAAGGAAACTGAAGTATTTTCTCACCATATCTTATAAATCCAGGTGTTAAACTTACTTTACATGTCAGCTGTTGAAGTCCATGCTGTGGCTTACGGATTGAGCTGCTGCACTGTTAAGTGCCTCAGGTATATTTTAACAAGAGCCAGTTCTTATCCTGTGCTTCCTCATTAGAAGAAGTCAGCTTCATTAGGTGACATCTAAATGGCTCACAGCAGCCAAAAACAGGGTCAAAGAATCTTAATTTTCTCCCTGAAAAGGGACTGTTACTACTGAACACTTTCCAATAATTAAAACAAAAGGTCAGACTACTGGTTGGCTGAATTTGAAATAATTTTTTCTCTAGTCCTTACGGAATGTCTGGATAAGTAGACTTTTAATGTAAACCACTTTAATTTCATGAAATCCCTAGTTAAAACTTGCATTTGTAATGTACTCTTCATGATTTTTAATCCTGGTACAAATGCACATAAGAGATGACCTGGGCATTTGTATTCATTATTATGACTGCGTTTGCAGGGTTGCGAGTAAAATAGCTTAAATTTTTGTGTTTTCAGGAGTTTCTTGATGCAAACTGTGATGGTTAAATATAAAATGAATTTCATTATGCTTTAGGTTCTTTCTTCCCTTCTATGCCTCCCGTCTCCCAAACTGTCCCACTTCAGTCTGTTGTCCAGTTCTGCTTCTTTAGCTTCATGCATTGAAAAGAAATATAACTAAAACCCTATCTTCTGTATAGCAATTTAAGATACTCTAGTTTTTAGTTTCCCCAACAGCTGCCAAATAGTTTATCACTCAAAACCCCCAAATATATTTAATACATTATCATACATAATGCAGGAAAAAACACCAAAAAAACAACTTTGGCTGGAAAAATGGAAATATTGAAGTTATTTTCTGAAACATACGTAATGCAAAATCTCCTTTAATTATACTTTTAGTAGACCTTCTGTTCCAAGACTTCATATTCTTGTCCAAGTGGCTGCTCTGCAGAATTCTCTCTCAACTCCCAAAGAATTATGAACGTGAAGAACCTCACTAAGAGTGTCCTACTGATCTCTCCATAGAGATGAAAGCAAAGAGCTCCAGACATGAAAGTGGAATGCTATGAGGGAGAATGAGGCTTTTGTCCTCCTTAAGTCACTTGTAATGCAAAAGTGACAAAGCCTCACTGCAAAGTTATGGGTTTCTTTCAGGAAAACTGAAGTAATTATATATGTATTACTTATAATGTATAAATTCTGACAAAAATCCAGTATGAATACTTCAACTGACAAAATCTTAAACTTAATTCCTTAGTTAATTCTAATCCTGCAAAGACATAGCCTTTAATATTACAGAAGCAGGCATTTGAGATGAACTTCTGCAGAGATGGGAGTCAGAAAATCCAAAATACTAATCTTACTCTTGTCTGACATATTGTGGTATTAAGAGCTGGAAAATGGGTATTTTGTCAAAACAAACGAAATCTCAAAAATATATTAAACTAAATTTAAAAAAACCCCACGGAATGACTCCATGTTTTGTATCAATACTTCAAAAGCATCAACAGAAGATCTTGCTTTCTTTTGAAAGAATTTGAAAAATTTTTTTTACATGTTGAAATTTGACAAAATCCATCCTGTTCCAGACCCTTGTGGAATTTTGCATTTTCCATAGGAAACAAAACAAGTTTCTGACAAGCTCTTTCTCACATAATACACATGCTTTGAAAAGAGTGCACATTTATTTAGCACTGGAACAAGGAAGAAATGAAACATTTCACTGAGATGTCAGTAATGTGAATAATACAATGTCTCTCAGATGAAAGAGACAGCAACATCTAACTAAACTAACTCAAAACTGTTTTCTCCACACAGTTAGGAATCTCTGTTTTCTCTGAGATATCCTGACTGCTATTTAATAGTGTTTTAACCAGGAGATTACCTTTCTCCTACAATAATATTAAGAAGTGAAACTTCCATTGTCACAGTGCAATTCTGCTTAAAATCCTAACCATTGCTGAAGGCAACTAGACTAGTCAAGCATGCTGTGTCCTTAAAAAGCTCTTGAAAATATGTGGTGATGCATACAGAATCTTTCTGTCTCTATAAAGAAGCATTCTGTTACAAGTATTGCTGAGATGCAGCTGAGCTTAAGCTCAGTTAAAAGTGATTTTTCTGCAGCCATCCTCTAGAAAAGTAAATAAGTATTTCTTATTATTACATGTCAATTTTTATGTTACCTGGCAACTCTCTCTGTGGAATTGAATTCATGAAGGTTGTGATGATGGGCTAACATAAATAGCACTCCACTGCTTTGAAAGAGGCATCTGTCTTGAGGAAATGTTTTCTTAGAATATTTAGAGATGGCAGGCTGACATACAGGACAGCAATCAGGGATACATAGGGCTTTTGTAGGAACCTTTTGAAAAGAAGCAGAAGTGTTGTCAAGGAGTTTAATTACATAGTTTTCTAATGGGGAATAGTCTCATAAATAATGACTTCTTAATAAGTGATTGTTTTTCTTTGTCTTTTAGCACCACAAATTTCCACTTTTGAGCTTGGCATATGTGAGTGGCACTCAGAGCAGCCAGCTGAGCCTGCTCAGTGGGCACGGCTGCAAGAACACAAGATTGCCTCCTGCTCCTTCCTGAAGGATTCGAGTAACAATACTGAAGGTAGAGATTTAATTTAACTCAAAATTACTAGCTGTCATGAAGAATATAGTGCTTTTTATGGCAAGATGGTGCCTCAATGCCAAAACAAAACTACAAAAAGTAATTGTATGTATTGTGTACCAATATTAGGTTTTGTTTTGGCTGTTTAGTAAGGACATATTGACAACTCCTGCTGGTAAAACACAAAATATTTTATTGTAAGAATTAGTGAATTTTTTTCAGATATTCATGAAATGTTTTAACATAAGAATTCCAGTATAAACTGATAGCTGATTTATTCTCCAGTTTATTCTTTATAAGAGATCTGTGCAAGAACTCAGTGAAATTAAATTAAATCAAACTAAATCTATCAAAGCCCACAGCTTTTGTGTGTGTTTTTTTTGTTTTGATACTTCGCAGTTTGATTTGTGTAGTACTACTCTGCTTGAGCATACAGTCTCATTTTAAACCTTTTATTAGAGAAACTGTAAATAAACACTTATTCTAGAAAATAGTGCCATACCTTTAAAAGAAATAAAATTAGTCCAGCTGCAATTTTAAGTAGCAAAGAGCATCACTTGTTTTTGAAATAACTGTGTAGTATGTGTGGGTTTAAGGGAAAGGTTTTGAAAGCTAAATGACTGTAAATCTTTAAGTGTTCTATTGTGAGATAGAATTGTTTTTCCTGCCAAGTGTTTGGCTTGTGTACTGAGACTGCCTTCAGAGGGGTCAAGTACTGCTAGTTGTAATAGTACAGTTTGTGATGCAGCTTTGAAGAGCTGATATTGTGGAGATTACTGCTTGAACTTTGAACCACAAATGAAATGGAGCACATCTCATTGATAGAATCAGAATGAATGCTGGATATTGTTTTTATTTTAAAAAAACTTTAAAAAATAAATTCTAGCATGCATTTCAATACAGTCTAGTAACCATAAGTCAAATTATTGTTGAACAGCAAGGAAAAGTGACTGAGTGTATAGATTATGTTAAAATTAATTTTTGCAGGTACATATAATGGACAGCATAAAGTAAAGCAGATTTTTTTTTCTCCCCTTAAATGTGAGTAGAAGAGTCATATCATCCAATTTCCACTGGGGTATCTAACAAAAAAAAGAGACTTTTCATTTGATTTAATTTGAAAAACCTCCTTGAAAGTAATTGTATCTGTGCCATACCTTAACATGATATCTTAAGGGCTAGTAACAGGTATGGATTTCACTTTTAAAGCAATACTGAGAACAGAAAAGTTATTGAAATTCTGTAAGGGCTTTTACAGGACTATATTACAAGCACTGTCTATGAAAAAGATGTATTTGGAATGTTTCCTGCATAATGCTTGGGCCTTATTGTATGGATATGCTGAGGCAGCTGAGTAGGCTGAATTTCCCCAACTACTTGGGGACGTTCCTTGAGCTTCTAAGTCATACAGAAAAATGAAAATGTGTCAAGAAACAAGCATCAAAACAACACACAGTATGTAATTCATCACTAACATTGGAAAATACTGAAAAATCTGAGCTATGATTGCTGATCTCTCAATACATTCAGTATTTCTGTTCATGCAGATGTGTTGAGACATAAATAAGAGGTTGAAACTAAAAAAATTCTAAAAATTAAAGAAATTGTATGCAAATGGCAAAAATGCCTTGCTTGAGGGCTCAAACTTGTAATGCAAATAGAGCTTGACTAAGCTTTATATTCTGATTTTGATCAAAGCTTTCACTTCTAAAAATAAAAGAGAGGTAAGAAATAAAATTATAAAGAAGAGATCTAAATAATTATATTTATAAAGAAAAGATTTTGAATAATCCTCCCTTGCTGGTATCCCTAAATTTAATAAAGTACTTTCTGTCCTTGGAAGATTTTTTCTTTGTTCCTTTATTGCTTTGTTTCTTTACTTTTATATTGTAGGCAATTTACCTATAATATTTCCTCTTAATTTCTCTAGTGTCAGAAGTTCTTACAGAGATTTTATATTCCCCTGTAATACTGTTCAGAAAGGATTTTTTAATTATTTCCTTTATTTATGTTTCAGATATGCTATTGTAGTTTTCATAGCTTGTTTCTTACATTGGCTTAAGCAGAAGAAATTACAATACTTGCATAAAATGTGTTCCCTAAAGGAGAGTAAGCATTCTTTTTTGGACACAGGATCATTCTGGAGCTTCATGGGACTTTGGTTTATCTAGAGAAGTGCACTTGCTTTCTTGTCAGAAAATCATGTCAACTCCTCTTTGACCTGCTTTCAAAGATTCAAGTACTTGAAAGGAAAGAGGGAATAGAATGCCAATTATCACTGAGTTCAGAAACTAAAATCGGTTGGATTTATAAAGGCATCAAAGAGTTAGACTAACAACTGGTAGCATATTTCCTAGTGTTGCATATTTTATTTATGCACAACATAGTAGCCATAGATGTGTAGATGCTTTGTTCATGTCTGTCAAAGAGAAATGTGGGTTAAATATAAAGGTTAGTTGTTGTGGCATGAAATTACAAGCTTAACTCCAAGGAAATTTCAAGAATGCATTGCAGTGTAAATCATTGCATAACACAAAGAGTAAACAAAAGGAAAAGAACATGGTTCTTTATAAAAACTAGTATTTTTCTTGTAAAATGGCAATTTCTTCCTTCACCTTGAGATTGTGTAACATTTGCATTTGATATAAATTGCACTTAGAGAAATAAACACAGAAACTGCAGACTTAAGGCCATTAATTAGTCCTTGTTTATTATTTTAATAGTTGCAGCAGAAGGCAGCAAAAATATTCAGTGACTCAGGAGGCAAGGGAAAGAGCTGATATATTTAGTAAAAAAATATTTAGCCTTTTTATTTCTGAAAACTAATAGACACTGTTGAGGAGATAGAGAACTCCTTTAGATCTCTGTAGGAATGCTTTTATAAGGGGCAGCAGGTCAAGAGGAGCACAAATTGCTTTTCTGCTTCAGGTGGAAAGACAATATGCTTCCAACACTTTGTTGCAGAAGTTATGTCTGAGAAGTAAGGATCTTGATTACATATTGGAGTTGTGACTGCTTCCTGTGGCAGTAATGCAGATGACCTTTTGTTTTGTTTTTTCAAGCATTGCTGTGAAAAGCATATTTCCTGGAAACTACGGTGGGAAGACAGCCCAGTTTCCACATATATTTGTCATTAGATATGGAATGGTTGTAAATGTAAGGAGGCTGAGCTGGGACTTCTTGCAGGTTTTAGCATACAAAGTAAAAACTTTGAGATGCTATGAACTGATGTAATTTGTGGTTGCTGGGGCTATCTGTGAGTAAAATGAAGATATATCTAGAGAGAGAGAGAGATTTAATAGGAAACAAAAGACATCCAAGTCATATCATCAGCATGATGATCAGATTTTATTCTTGCTGGGATGGGTCTTTGGTGTAATTACATGAGAGCAGTCCTTATTTTTAAAGACTGAGGAAAAGAAAAGTTTTGTAAAAAGTGACCTTTATTTCCTTTCCTTTTTTCTTCAGGCCATTTCAAGTGGTTAGAAACTAATTACAATGCATTATACGAAAGGGCCCACCTAAACAGCTCCATGTGCCATTGTTCCAGCAAGAATTGCCATTTTCAGTTTCAATACTCCATGGCAGACAACAGTGATCTCAAAGCAGTACTGCTTGTGAATCAGGTAAGGACAAACATGTTCATTTCCAAAAGGTAAAGGTATGGCAGCCCAGGTGTTACCAGACAAAATGCAAGACACACCTGCTGTTACATGCCTCTCTCCCTAGTCAGTTTGTGCAGAAAGTACCTCGGTACCATTCCACTGGTCCACTTGCAAAACCTGGGTGGTCGCCATCTCAGCTATAAATTAATTTGATGGGTGAGTGTTCTGCAATAAGACTTCAAGGACAAACACAGCCATTACAGAATTAAATCAGTTGCAGATTTCAGGGGGGAAATCTATAGTAACAGCTTTCCTAGCCTTCTTCCCCTTATGGAAATAAGGAAATAGGTGCTTCTGTCAGTGGAGTCATTAAAAAAGAAAGTCCTTGACTAAACACCTGCTATGCTTTGCCCAAGTATTAGAGCAGTAAATTTTCTATTCTTTTACTTATTAGTAAATAAAAGAGCCCTGCCAGAATGAAACACAAATGTCAGTTGAGCATTGCTAGCTATTTCCATCTTTCTTACCTTCCTTATCTTGTGAGACTTTCTAATATTAGTATGTTCTCTTTTGGAAGTCTGGTTTAATAGGTTAATATTGATGCTTTGCACTGCTACTTAATGAAAGCAAGAGCAGTAGAGCTGCTCTCATTAAGTTAATGGCTCTCATATCTTGATGCTGGAGTTGAATTCTTGTCACCCAACAATACACACATTTAAATATTAGATCCACTTCATTCACAAAGATAAGAAGCTAAAAACCCCAAAATGTAACACAACCAAAAGTCTTAAAATAAGGACAGGTAATGGAAATAATTTATTTCTTTCCAATTGTGTCTTTGAATATTCATGAAAATAACTCCAGTCTTTTGCTCATGTTTCACTTATAAAAGCCAATAGTTTTATCTTTCTATGACCTATTACTGTGTCAGGGAATTGTAACATAATCAGTGTTCTGTCAGAACACACGGAATTTTTTCCTGTAGTACTTGCCAATAAATTCCCAGGTATGATACTCGCAGCAACCTCGAGACAGAATAGGAATATTGATTTCATCAGTTCACCTAAGCAGCATCAATGGACCCAATTTAAGAGTTTTATTTCCCTGAAAATAGAGCAAATGATGTAAGTGAAAACCATAAGAAAATTGACACCTGAGTTCCCGTAAAACTGGGAGCTTAGATTGAATTATTTGATAAACTGGTCCTTATATGCTCATTAGAAGAACATTTTCTGGCATTTATTACATCAGTCTACTCTGTTTCCATAGATTCTCATAGCCCTTTTATGTTTTAGGTATTGAATTTCTCCTTCAATCAGAAGTGTATTTATTGCACATAGACTTATTTAAAGCTGATGTGAGTTACTCATACTGCAAACTTTGCCAGAAAAATCTTCAGAAACATAAGCTTCTGCTGGTAGTTTCAGCAAAAATAAAACAACCTACAGACTCACATTTAAGACTTCTTAAACGGAAATGAAGGGAGAATTGGCTTTCACACATTTTGCTACTGAATCATTAGGCTGTTTACAAAAGACAAAGGAATTTTCAAAACTAGCCAACACTAAGAAACAGAAGTGAGGGTCAAGTGCTTGTTCTGACCCTGGAAGACAATAGACTGCTGTCCTGGAAACTCATTCAAAATAACCTTTCAATTGTACTTTCCTGCACATCCTATCTGTATATTTATTGATCAAAACCTCTTGTCTTTGAACAACTCTTGCTAAATCCCAGCACTGACAGACCTGACACACCTGGAAACTGGATTACACCCAATGTACAGTTTCAGTACTGTTCTTGGAGGCAAGTAACACAAATGTTGTAAATTTATCCCTGGCCTTCCTCACTCTTTCAACAGAGAGAACAAAGATGAGTGAACATGTTTTCTAATGTGGACATTATGGTATCAATTGGAAGACAGGGAATTTAAATTGCTCTTGGGTATGAAGGAGGATAAGGAAAATGGACTCCTTCTGTCAACAGTAACGTGTTTACTTACATTTAACTTGCAGTCCATGATAATCTGCAGCTTTTCCTCTTTTATTGCTGGCTTGTCAAACTGCTCTTCATTAAACACTACTGCATTTGACAATTTGATTTTTCTTTCTTAGTTGTGACTCATATGTCTTTGTGCTTTGTCTTATTGGTTTGGAACTGGTTTCTGTACACTGAGATGATTTTAAATGCAAATGATGTCCTTCAGAGTGCTTGTAATTCCTCCTAATATAGTATTATTTATATTATTTTAAAATTTATCTTTCATCCAACTCTCCACACTCTCTAGTCAGTTAGTCAGCACTGTAATTATATCAGGCTCTGGAACAGATCTATGCAGAATTTTATTATGACTTTCTTTTAGTTTAATAGAAAACTATGGACATCTCCTCTTTGAAATAAAGTCATATTTCTATTTGCACACACATTTTAGAGTAATTTCATCTACACCAAATCACCACCACTTTTTAAAAGCATGTGTTACATGAAATCGTTAAAAAAACCTTCATAAAGTGAAGCAACTAACTTCAAGTCTGTTTATGATGAAAAAAAATAATTACACTGCTAAACTTGCTCCTCATCAGAGGCAGTTAATGTAGGTTTCTCAGTTCCTAATTCTCTAGCTGCTTACGAGGTTGTTGGCAATTTGTTCCAGTGTCTTAAGAGTTGTTCAGCATCTTGGCTGTAATCGCATAGTCTGTATTTATCCCTTAGCTGCCATATATGTCCTTTGTTCTCCTGATTGTCTAGTTTCCTACACATTTGCCTCATGTTCTCAGAGCTTGCTGTTGATAGTAAAATCTTCCTTCCAGTATGCAACCTTTACGTAAGTTTGTGATTCTATTCCAGTTTTAGTACTTCTGGCTTATATTTGTATTTGTAACATTATTTGTCTGTTCTGGTCCAGGTTTGAATTCCCGTTTGGCAATATTAACTGTTCAACTAACATAAAATATTCACAGACTCATAGAATGTCCTGAGTTGGAAGGTATACACTAGCATCAGTGATGTCCAACTCCTGGCCCTGCACAGGAGAGCCCCAAGAGTCACTCCATGTGCTGAGAGCATTGTCCAAACACTTCTCGAACTCTGTCAGGCTTGGTGCTGTGACCACTGCCCTGGGCAGGTATTCCAGTGCTCAACCACTCTCTGGGGAAAGAATCTTTTCCTAATATCCAACCTAAACCTCCCCTGACACAACCTCAGGCCATTCCCTCAGGCCCTGTCACTGTCACCACAGAGCAGGGATCAGTGCCTGACCCTCCTCTTCCCCTCATGAGGAAGTTGAAGATTGCCACGAGGTCTCCCCTCAGTCTCCTCCAGGCTGAACAGACCAAGTGACCTCAGCTGCTCCTCACACAGCTTCCCCTCAAGGCCCTTCACCATCCTCACAGCCCTCCTTTAACATCCTCTAACAGTTTAATATTTTTCTTACACTGTGGCACCCAGAACTGCCCCCAGCACTAGAGGTGAGGCTGCCCCAGATCAGGACAATCCCCTCCCTTGCCTGGCTGGTGATGCTGTGCCTGATGCCCCCCAGGACAGGGTTGACCCTCCTGGCTGCCAGGGCACTGCTGGCTCATGTCCAACTTGCCATGGACCAGCACCCCCAGGTCCCTTTCTGTGGCCCTGCTCTCCAGCCTCTCATTCTCCACTTTATACATTCAATTGACAAAATTAACTGTCTGTTAACTGACAGATAAATCTTAACATTTTCGGTAAAAATGGAAACCAAATAATATAATGTTGACTCTATTATTTGCTACTCATTGTTTGTTACTCTCCTTAAGTAATGGGCTTAGTCTTCCTTTTATTGCCTTAATCTTTACATTGTGTATGGCTTTGAAAAATACAAAAATTAAGCAATGAAAGATAATTTCAATGCTTATGTATGCAAGTATATTTATATCCTAATGCACTAAAGTTTTTCTATGTGTTCAACAACACTTGCAAAGTCATGTGAATACACTCCTCTGCAGAAGACAATATTGATTAATCATTGTGGGGGAACAAAGAAGCCTTTGTTGCAAATTACTCTCTGAAAAGAGAAGTAGGGACAAAATAATGGGTGCAGTTGCACAGCAGTGCATGTATCAATAGAGAAATGTCAAAAAAAAGATTAAAAATATTTTATAAATGGTGACTTTTACAAAATTCCTGATTTCTCTTCCATCCTTCAAATCTGAGTGGCATTATCTCAGAAAAAAAACATTGTGGGGAAAAGGAATAATTCTTGCTCATTTTAGCTTTACAAAAGGTTGTTTATTGATAGTAATATATCACAGTAAGGGGAATAGAGTAAAGTTATCTTGAGCAACTGTTCCCCTGCATTACAAAAATAAATCTTGAAGGAAAGCACTGGGAAACTAACACCTTCCATATTTTAGAAAGCTAGTGACACCAGGAATGTGCTAGAGGGGTTAACCCATTTGTAGCAAAGAAGTGGAAGAATATGACAAGCAGGGTGAATACTACAAGTATTGTGAGGAAGAGAAATTATATTGTTGACTTATTAGAGTTGTATAAAATCACAGGGTAAAATATGCTTAAAATGTTGGTTCATCTGAGATGAATTACAGGTTTCAGTGTAAATAAAAGTCCAAGAAGGTCTGGCTAGTGTACAGAAAATTCAAGTTTCCTGCTACAAGCTATTTGTAATAAAATTAGTTTGGGAGAAAAATGGTCATGGGGCTGGGTTTCTAAGCTGCTATCTGAATGAGAACAAAATTTTAATATTGAAGCGCATCCAGTCAAATACACAGCAAATACAGTGCTTCTGAAGAAAAAAAAAAACAACATACAAATGTTTTTGAAGGGTTCGTACATGCAGCTGGGGGGAAACGTGTTAGGTTAAAGCAGAAATTTAACCACAGGCTATAGTTTTAACCTGCCATGTAGTATGGTTCCTAGTACACCATCCTTTTCTGTGTATTATATGTGCCTAATATAGGCTAATAGATTTCCTTTGGAAGGTGAATTATTTAGTAAAATGAAGCAAGTTTTACACAGGATGAAGTCAAGGTTGAAGACTTTTGCTGAATATGTCATGTAAACAAGTGGTCAAATACATCCTATAGTAATGTTGAAACTCACAGCTGACTTTTATTTCTGAAATCAAGTATGCCATGTGCTTTATCCCATTTGATCTCTTCTGTCATTGAGTGTTTGAAATTAGCATATTGCCTTGGCCCTGTCTTGCAGTTTTCCAAAACGGATCTTTGAACACATGTTCAATGGGGATTTAATCTTCCAGCTTTGCTAATATATCAGAATGGCCTTGGTAGGAAAAGAGCATTAATTGTCTGCTCATCACAAATCATATCAATGTTGTTCTGCTGGCTCACAGCCTATCAAGCAGTAGACAGCACATTTCTCCTCTCTTTTATATTATAAAATAGGAAAAAAGATAACTGTCCTTGTCTATAGTATTGATAACATTTCACATGCCTATCATAACCCCTTTTATTAATCTCCTGTAAGATAAATTCTTTTTATACTTTCAATTTCTCTTCATACAAGAGACTCTCCATTTCTCTTATCCTGCTTTGCATTTTTTTCTGAACTGCCACTAATTCTGTAATATCCTTTGTGGAAAAGGTATGACCAGTACTTTGCAGTTTCCTAAAAGTAGTCTCAATATTGATATTTTTAATGATAACTCTGTTTGTATGTATAGCGTATATTAACTTTTTCTGGGTTTTTTTTTCTTTCTGGCTTTGCTTTATTTTGCAACTGCTTCTTGAAAAGACTTTGTGTGAGTATATAAGGTTCAAATTTCTGCCTTCTTTCCTTTTTGCCTCAGTATGTTCCAAGCAGGATCATGACCAGAAGCAGAGTGAGTGTGAGATACTTTTGCCAGATTATTGAATCAAAAAGGCTTGGAGTGCTTGCATAAAGGGATCCTTACCATATGTAGCACTCTTCCTGTTATCCTTAGGAGGTGGAATGAAAATGGGAGGATTAAGGTAACTCGGAGCATGACTAAAAGTTTTTAGGCTGTACTCTGTGCGCTTGCTTTACAGATTAAAAAAAATGGTTTTAGCACAATTGATTGGGTAATTCTGGCAGACCCAAAATTCAGTTCTAAGTGAACTAAATCTAATTAATTACACAACGTAAGCAGTTATTTATGAAAAGGAAACTTATGTAGAGAACACCATGGAAACATATTGTTTAATTCAGCAATAACATGGCTTAATTTACATATTAATTAACTTGAATTCTACCAACTTAACTTCTGATAATTATATTATTAGTCTGTTTAGTCACAGTAAACATGTATTGTTTCCTCTCTCTCCAATAGACCTCAGTGCAAAGATTGCAAATGAATATGAGAAGCTCTATTCTTTCCACAGAGAGCAACTTTGTATATGGTGCTTGTTTGGCTGGCAGATGAAAAGATGGAGAACAAAAAATGGCCTTGATAACTTCTGGAGGAACAAAAATTATCTTTATAACATTGTTTTCTACATTTTACAGGAGGAGCATGTCTTGTGGGAAGCCAGCATCTTGACTAAGAAGGAGTGGGTCAAAGTGAATATACAGCTACCAATAGGGCTAAAAAATATAAAGGTATGAATGAAAAAGACACGTGATCAATTTTTGAAGATGCATTACCTCATTGTTTGTAAATCTTTAGGAAGCCTAAAAATTTATTAAAATTGTGTGTATATTGAATGTCTTGCTGTTTTTTCATTGCTTCAATATGAGTAAATCTCTGGTTGGAGATCAAGAAAACATCTACACAAACATGACATACAGAAGCTGATAGACTTGAATAAAATGCAAGAAAATGAATATAAATCTCATCTGATTCTAATTAGTCATCTGGGTCCAACTCAGGAATTACCAGCTCATTTAAATGCGTATATACTATTAAGTGAGATGATGTAAATGATCTTTGTGGAACTTCAGTGAAATTATGTAAACCACTAATTGGGAAGATACTTTCTCATTGAAATTTCAGGCACAGAGATAAATGCTAAATTGCAACTACTTAATTTTTATATTAATTTACAAGTTTCCATTTTAAGTAACTTTTCATTTACATTTTCTTTTGTTGTTCGGTAAATAACCATCATATTTTACATTTTTTTAATTGTTTCAGCAATCAGTTGAAAATATAATCTCTATGAAAGGACAAAAACTAAGCCTACTGCAGGAATAGATGTTTTCACATGTTAGAATGCATTTCAGTAAGCTAGTAGGTTCTAAGTGTGTGTTGTTGCCTGTCTCTCCTTTTCCCACGAGGACAATTTTGAATAAACAAGCAGATGTGTAATTCAGCTATCTATAGTATCTAAAAATAAATAAATGTCTCCTTAGGTTGTATGTATATAAGTAGGAAGCCAAAATTATGTATTCTTGTACAAAGACTGCAAGGATCCCTTGCACTTAGGGAAGGAAACATACTATCTGTAAATTTGTGCTTATTTCATATTTTCAGCACAGCATTCTGTTTTTTGAACTGGTAGAGACTGTAAAGTATTAGGAGACTTTTGACATTTTGAAGAAATTTTTTCTAGTGGAAGACAATGACCTATAGAACTCATGATATAGAAAGAAAAATGCCTCTTGAGATTTCACTCCAACTTAATTCCCAGGCTTTGGGGAGTGTGCTAGACCCTTCTGCTTATGCCGCAAATCAGATTTGTTCTAGTTTCCTTCTGTTTTGTCAGATACTCTTACACAGTGTTTTCTGACCCTTGCACATAACTACTTTCTGGGACTCACACTTCATGTCATGTTCCAGTCTGTCAAAACCCACAAATCCATTTTTATTTATTTCTTCAACTCCTGCTCTTTTTCTCAGTGCTTTATTTCTATTGTCATCCTAATATTTTTTATGAATCCAAGCTTTCTTCCCCCTGCTTGCTGCTTTAACTCAGGTAAAAGAAACCTGGAGAGCACAAATGGAGTAATTTCATTGCTTTGAGAGCCAGCAGAGCTGGGCTCCACTGTGGCCAGGAGCAACAGATGTTCTGGAATTTCATAGCTATAAATCAGCTAATGCTAAAACTGCTCCGAGCAAGGCAAGTCTGTCAGAGAGAGAAATGCTCCTTGAATCGCTGTGTCTATGTCAATAGCAGGAAAATAAGCAGGCTGAGGGCACAGGCACAGGACTGGTGTGTGATTGTCCAAATAATTAAAACATCGGCATGATTTTTAGAAAGGAAAATCAGCCACCTCCAATCCCAGTGCCCAGAACAGTTCCAGGATTACGAGCAGGCAGGGACCAACATAGCAAAGGCTGAATGCATCCATTTTGTTTTATGTGATGAAAACGTTATCAGTTCTTAAGTTAACAGTTATCAGTGCCAGCTGGTGCCTGAGGACAGTCCCCAGCCCATTTTATGCACCTGTTACTGGAAATTTTCTCTTGGGGATCTGCAAAATAAGGTTTTGAAGACACTTCAGAAAAAAGATGGATATTAAATATTAAATTTCAGGACACTTTTCTAAAGCACTGGGACATTACTAATTTTTAGCTAAAGCTTTATGAGATTAGGATTTTTTCTTTAAAATAGATTTTTTTTTTAACTTAATTCTTGTGATTCATTAAACTTCATGTGAAAATTTTCAGTAAGTTCAACCTGATATAGTCATACAAAATTGCAGATTCTAATTTGAAATTAATCACAGTTTTGCAATGAAAATTATGTTTTATGTAAATAAAAATCAGTTTCACTGCATTTTCTGTTAATCCAAATATTTTAACTGTAACCATTTACAGCTTGTGTTTAAAGGAACACTCCAGGGCAGGGCAGGTTTCATCTGCCTGAATAGCATCCAGCTCTTGGACGCTGCACCATCAGAGCTGCCAGGTTTCTGCTCCCTGGAAGAACCCGCCTGCAGGGATGGGCAGCCCGTGGTGCCTGGATCAGCCTGTGGCTCTCACCTGGATTGCCCTGATGGCAGCGATGAGGACCCAGCCACCTGCTGTGAGTGAGTCCCATTGCTTTAGAGGGACACCCTGCTGATGGGTGTTGTGAAACATAAGCAGTTCTATTCAACAAATCGCTACAAATTCATGTCCGTATAACAAATCACTATTTGTTATAGTCATTTCTAATTGCTGGAAAAAAAAAAAAAAAAACAACTTTAAATTTATGTGGCTTCCTTTCCCCAGAATATTTAATGATGTACGGGTTAGTATGGGCACTGCAATCGGCCACAACAGCCGGGGAATATGTGGCATAAACACAGAGAGACGGGAACAATGGAGTTACCTCAAAACAAAGAACTTCTAATGTAAAAATAACAAACGTAGAAACCACATGCTACAAAGGCAGCCTCCAAAGACCTCAAAAGCCCCTAAGCACAGAGGTAGATTGATGGGGTGGAGAGCATAGGGTCCAATCAATAACAAGGATAAGGAAGAGAACCATATCTGTAGCCTGGCCATTAGCTAACCATATATTGAAACCAAGAACAACGCCTTATTTTTAACAAACTAGTTAACATATTAGTTCCCATGAGACAGCTCTTCTCTCTATTCTCTCACCACGATGTCAAAGGATGTCCTTCCTCCTAGCTAGGTGTCTCCCAGGGTCTGGAGCTGAAGTTCTTTGCACCTACAGGTGAAGCCACTTCCTTGTCCGCTTCAATTTCCGCAGATTATAGAAAACATTCACAGCATTTTCTTCTTCCCAGTGCTTTGTGTTGCTGTGCCTGGCCTCATCATTGTGTTTTAGATGCAGCTAGTAATTTGTTTAATAATCTGCCGAAATGGAACATTTACTCTATTTTTGCTTAAATATATTCTCTACATACCACATTTATAACCTCTACTTCCCTAATTTGCAAGGGAATGTAATCTGCCTTGGGATTTGTTGAACAGTTTTCTAATTTAGATTGCCTGTGAATTACTGTCAGAAAATGTATTCAGTGACATGATATTTGCACTGTGACACAAATCACCACAGAAATGGGCCACTGTAGTTCAGAAGATACATCTTCTTCGTTATATTTGCAGCTGAAGGTAAGTTTGTTTAGAAGCCACAGTTTCAACTGTACAATCAAGAATAAAAAGAAAATAACTAAAATTACTGAAAAATATCTGTAATAATTCTGGATAATTTTAGATCTCCATGTGAAAACATTTTTCGAGACCCTATCACTTCTAGAATTAATATTACTAGGGCATGCATAAGTATGTATGTTTGCCTGTGGTGGTAACACTTAAATTTGTGTTTAACATAAAAAATGTTCACATATTTAAGATATTGGTGATGATATATATTGCTGATGGGAGATGCCATTAAAAACACTGATAATGTTTTTTTTTCTAATTCCTTGATTAGACTTAAGGAAATATTTGTGACTGCAAGCCCGTTTTTTAACTCACAGTCTGAATCTTTAATTTTTTCAATTACTCAAATAACCATGCAGGAACTGTCTCTGAAAAATGTAATATGTGCAAATACTGAAAAAATATTTTAAATAGGAAGGTATATACTGTTTAATCTCTGGGTAGAATCTAAACAAACATTAAAGTCTGTAAGGGCTCCCTCTCTGAGAGCTCTTTTTGATTTTTACAAGCCTTGACCCTATGTTGTTAGCTCTGTGTCTGTCCTCCATTTGTAGGAGTGTGGAGAGTCCTCATAAGTTCTTTGGCAGGAATGGAATGAAAGTGAATTGTACTTTCAAAACTGGAGTTTATTTCTCAGCAATTTAGCAAACACACTCCATAACAGTGAGAGATAATTGTGGTGAAAAGCATCTGGAAATAAAAAAGAATAATTTTTTGGTTTCTAAGGATGATGAAAAATACTTGTCACAGTTGAAGGAAGTACTACTTCTAATTGTACTACACAAGGTGAAAATAGAGATAACTCCAAACACTTAGAGGCCTGTGCCTTGGACACTGGACATTGATGCTGGGTAACCAAAAGATTACAAATTACCGAGATCTAGTCTGTATTTTAAAGATCACAGTAGAATTTTTGGGAATATTTCTTCCAACATGTTGATGTGGATGGGTCAGAAAAAAATTGAGATTGAGCACAAGAAGGAAAAGGCCTGGTGGTCTCAACACTGTCCTTCCTGGAATCTCCAGAGTTAGGGTGCTGGGACAAGGAAGGATGAGAGCCACAATAAGAATCCTCTTCAATAGCTCTGCCTTGTGCTCCATTCTCTGCTGCTGCTTCTACAATTAACTTTGGTTTTTCTACTGGCACTGATTCTCCACTAGGTCCCTTCAAATTAAAGAAACTGTGACACTCAGTTGAACCTGAGATATGGGATTGTTTGCTTAACTATGTGTGGGGGAATGGATAAAGATAGTGCTGCAGGCAATCTCACCCCTTGCAGCTGTACTCATCACCAAAGAGTGGAAGCAGCCTTACCCTTGATAGATCACAGCTGTGTCTGATAAGGATGTGTGCTATAAAAGAGTGGGTTAGCTGCTTGAGTTAGTTGGAGGAAGAAGGTTGGAGTCAGAGTTGTGTGGAGTTGCCTGTGGGAAGTTCACAGAGAGAAGGAATGAAAGTTGTGCTGTAGGACTGATGATTGCTAACATCTTTGGTGTCAGTCGTTTGAGCCCTCTGGCAATCAGGGGGGAAGTATGAAGGTTTTATTGTAGGATAACAAACTGATGGTGTCAGCCAGATAGCATCCACTGTCTATTGGTGCATGGCAACAATTGGTGGCCTGGGTGAGGAATGAGCACCAATAACTGAGTTGAGATAACCACAGTTTGAAGAGCTATCATTTTGTTGGGGTACTGAACAAAAGTATATTCATTCCCCCAAAAAGAGGGTGGAAAAAAGTTATTTTCTAAAGGATCAGTAACCAATAGTAGTTGCTTATTTCTCTGACATATTGGCTGAGAAGAAAGAACACAAAAAAAAGTGCTATCTTTAAAATAGCAATGACTATTGTTAAAGTTGGCCCATTTTAATGTATAATATTGTCTTGGATACTTCCCACACTCTTTTTCAGGAAAGAGGGCCCTAATGGAATTTAACTACTCAGCTGTTTGGTCAGTTTAGAAGTTTCGAATGATCTTTCAGTCATGTTCCACAGTATTGTGCAAAAAAGGTGTAAAGAAAAAAAAATATTTTTTTGTCCTTTGTTTTTTATTCCCATTATACCCATTTTCCACAAGATCTTGATATTGTCCTCCATGATGTTTAGAGTTCACTATATTCATATTGATTTTCAGTAAAATTTCCTATCTGGTACAGTGATGTTTATTTTAGCCTTTATTAGGTCTTTTACCATCTATCGTTGGACACATCCTCAGTAGTTTCCTTTGTGGAAGTGTCTCAGGTACTGAAAGAGCTGACAGATCTCTTATTGAACAAAAACAATGCCAGACAGCTGTTACTTAATGTGAAGGATCCCCCTCCTTTAAGAATTTCTTTGTTCCATTATAATAAGGACTTTAAAAATAATGTTTCTCTTAAGTCATGTTGATTCAACGTGAATAGTATTATAGTAACACAATTTATTACAAGAACAAACACATATATGTTTTGCAACACTTCCTAATCTTTCTGTTTAATCTCTGCTCGTTTATATAAATATGTATTTAAGTCTATGAGATTTAAAATTCTCAAAAATTAGGAAATTATCTAGGAAACTTTTACGCACATGAGTAACTATTTTTATTTGAGTTGGTAAAATCTGAATCTGATGGAGTGACAAGTTATGAACATGGATTTTACTATTAAATTCTGCATTTTCATTATGCTTTTTTAGACATCTCTTATTTGTGATCACTTCTAAGTTTTTTATTCAGTGAATGATAAATTATGAAAACCTAGTGAATATATTCAAACAAAGTGAGAGGCAGTACTTGGATAATTTAGAGGACTATAAAGATCCCTTTCATGCTAATGCCTTTTCTTTATTTCCTACCTAATATAAAGGAAGTTTTGTACTAAATACTGTGTCAAATAATTAATATTTCAAACGCTATACTTATTATTATTTTACATTATTTATACATAACCTTCACAACACTTATAAACCCATAAATACAAATGAATCAGTAGCTAGCAGTCCTAGCAGCTTGGAAACAAATCTAGGAAGCAATTGTTATTTTCAAGTAATATCACACTTTGATGCAGTAATATTTCTGGAAATTATCTACTCATCAGAATCCATGTATATTCAAAATTATTGTAGGGAGGGGTCATCCTACTGGTATTTCTGAAAAAGCATCACTTCCATTTAGCTTAATTAGAAGCTTTCTTAAAACAGCTGTCTTTACTGCTTCTGCTTTTAATTTAACACCTCTAGTATTACCTTAAATATTCTCAGATTTTCATAGGATTTGTATAATTTATGAATATGGAATATGTAGAATGAAGGAAAGCAGTATAATTTTTAAACCATGTAACTTTTACTGCATTTCATTTACAGTATAGCAATTTACAATTGCAAATCCTTGAAACCTTCCACAGCAGATGAACACAGATGCAAATATTTTTATTGCCATTCAGTGTTAGAGTGGAAAGGAGACTTCTTAACCCTAAGCAAGGGAACTGAGTAGTTTCAGAAGGAGGTGAAGCCATCTCACTATGAGAGTTATGAGTCATCTGTGTAATGACTTATGACATGAGGAAGTTCAGGCTGGATGATCTATGGCCATCTGTGCTATTTCTGTATGAATCCTTTAATAAATTCTAGGTAAATAAGATCACTCACAAACTGGTAGGGAAAGTGCTTAGAAAGAAGGTATGCATGTAACCCTTCACTTTCACAAAATTACATTAAGTGTAAGCCAGAAATGACAAAATATTAACGGCAAAGAGGTTCTTTGGTTTCTGTTCATAATGATGGTTATTACCTCAAATTCCAAAGATGCTTAGGTGCTGCCATCCTGAATGAGGGGAGCAGTCCTCCTCATTGTATGCTATTGTTCAGGGAAACACCAGCCTGATGGAGACACCAGCTGGGTGTCCCCATTTGTGCTCATTTGACTGAGCTCTCAGAGCAGGGCTATGCAGGACTATACAGTTGCAGGCTAGCAAAGCTGAAGCAATATGACTTGGTTAGTAATCCAGCCTAGATATCAGAGCTGCTTTGTTTTCCCTTGGGAGGATCATGAGGAGCTAGGATATATAGAGTCAGCTAGTCAAAGAAAAAGACATTTCCATTTAGCCTCCCAGTGCTCTTGAAATATGTGCTTTGTTTCCTGCATTTTTGATTTTTTGGGGTTTGTTTGTTTTTTGGGGGGGATTTGTTGTTGTTGGTTTTTTTTCTGTTTTGTTTTTTTTTTTTTTTATATATTTTAAAAAACATTTGTATTAATTGAAAATTCTTTTCAGTGTATTTTTTGGCTTTAGTAACCTATTTAACCACTTATTCTTGAAACTCAAGAAGTTTCTGGGGAACAATCTTTTTCCTGGCTGCATCTTTGAATTTTGTATAAATGGTGTACTTCTTTACTAGTTAAGATATACTGATATATTCACAAGAATTTAAAAAAAATTCAAATTTAACTTACTGTTAAAAGGAAAGCAAGTTGTTGTTTCCTTTCAATTTTCCTTTCTCTTTTGCTGGATTATAAATAAGCAAAGGTCCAAAATAGAGAACTGATTCATTTTCCATTCAAAATGTCAAAAACCTATCTGCAGTTTGAACCTATTGAAATCTTCCTAGTGAAATATAAAAATAAGCTCTGGTGCTGAGAATTGCAGTAGGAAGGGACATAATATATCAGAAAAGAGCTTTATGTCAAACTTAACTGTAGCATGACTACTCAAAAACTATAGGCTGTGCAGTCACTTATTTTCCTACCATGGATAGTGAAAGATTACCTATAATCCCTTGAAGGTTCAGATAAAAATGTTGAATGTTTGATAGGAAAGGCACATTTCTTAAGGTTTATTAAAGTTTGAGGAATTAAAAAACACACTGAAAAACTGTCTTACTTGGATTTGGGTTTTAGCCAAAGCGCAGAACTTTTCTTTCAAGCTTGATTAAACATTTACAAGCACCCCTTAAGTTTTTAGAATTAAGTAGGGATAAGGTTTAAGTTGAGCTGTTAGTTTGGACAAGTGCATTTCACTCACATTTGAAGGCTAGCTGTTCCACAGCATATTTACCCTTTTGAGTTGAAGTGTCACTTCCAGATACTACATAGGGGGAACTCTTGGGTTTGGTAATTGACTCTGATCAGTGTTTCTGCATGACTGAGTGCTTGTTGAGAGCTTTAAATTTCAAGTGAAAGGTGTAATTAAAAAACATTTAGCATCTAAAGTGTGGTCAGCATTACTATATTCTATTTCCTTTCCACCACCCAAAAGACAAAAACCCAAACCAACCATCATCAACAACAAAAACCCCGAAGTGCACCACCAGGAATGTTCTTCCTACCTTTATAATTGTGTTCAGGCTTGAATAAAGTTCTAAAAAATGACTGGACAAACCAAATTTGATTTTGGATTGTGTTTTGCTGTGTGTGCATGTTTTCTTTTCCCACACTGCTTATATATCCAACCTAAAAATGGATGTTTATATATTTCTTTCTACATCTGTAGGCTTAGAAGAAATTGTACGACAGGCTACCAATGTAAGAAATGCTGATTTCACCACACCTCTCTTCCAGTTGAACATCAAGGGCAGTGATGGGCTCTGATCACACAAAAGCTGTTGTTTTTATCAGCGTAACAAATCTTCTAGAGTTCTTCTCTAGTTAAAAGAAAATAATAATTTTAAAAATGTTTCCATGCTACATTCTTTTTAGAGCTGTAAAATAATAGTTATTAGATCTATCTTGATCTTAGTTTCATATTTAAACCATTATTTTTTTCCTTTGGTGCCTACAGGGTCATTTATGGATGTCTTTTTGGATATTACTGTGTAGACACTGAAGTCAGTTGTTTATGCAGAAGACCTTTTGTGGGGCTTAGGGAGGTCAGGAAAAAGCTATTTAAGCAAAGAATGTTTGCCTTTTTTGTTCACATTGGTTCTCTCAAGACTGTGTAAATAAGGAAAGCCAAATGCCTAGACATAGTATTAATTACCTAAACATCTTAGTCTTGGATATCAATTTGCATATTCAACCTTAATGTACTTGCAATTGAAGTCTAATTAAAGAGATACCTTGTGAAAAGAATGGAAATTTTAATTAAATAAGTTAACCAAGTTTCATTTTCAATTAAATATGCTGCACTAAACAGAATACCATGCACCATCAAATTTTAATGTATATGGTGAAGCCAGATAAGAGACACTGATATTTGTAGTTTATTTTGTACCTTAAGATTTAGCTGCTCAAATAACCTCTTTATTCCTGGGAAACTTTTACTATTTAGCTTTGCTACAATGGTGCTTAAAGAAAGATGCATTTCATTTTGGTTTTGTGCAATCTGAAAATTGGAGTAGTATGTATGATCGTGTCTGAGGCTGATACGATCAGATAAATGGGCTGTGGGAGTGGAAAGTGACAAATACAATTCTAAAATAATGGTTGCAATTGCAATAACTGACCCCAGGAGTTAAGTGTAGTGCCTTGTGGAGCTGTTCTGAACCAGGAAAGAAAACTCTAAATTTTTCTTATCTAAATAATTATTTGTTCTCACTCAACGTAGGAGCATGTGAAATTTTTATACAATTTAAATTGGTCAAATCTATACCAACTGAGAAAATGGTCTTTTACTTTGCAATAAAAATTTCTAGGCCATCTGAATAATTGATAGATTTAAATCTCATTTTCAAAAAGAAATTAAATGAAAGCTTAATTTGTCTTTGCTTTCCATATATTTTAAGCTCTAAATACATTTGATTTTTCTCACACATTCATAACTAAATTACTGGTACAATTCTTGTTTAAAAGTTATAAATATTATTTTTATAATATCTCAGCAACCTATGTACAGGTTTTTATTATGTTTATTCTCTTACAGGTAGATTGTTTCATGGTTCTGAGTTTGATTAAGAAAGGAAGGGCCTGCCCGACCTGTTACCTGTATTCTAGAATTTCATATCCATCTGAATAACCTGAAACTCATTTGTGCTTCTTCAACATTCCTAGTACATCTAAATACAGAACAGCCAGAGTTGTGGCATTAAACTTTTAAGTTTCACCAAGTTCAACTTATTGATCTCTTGTTGTTGTTGTTGTTACCACAGCTAATTACACCTTATGTGATTTTGAGACTGACCTCTGTGGATGGAAGCCACTGAGCCAAGGTGATGCTGACTGGAGCATAATGAAAGAACAGACTCCCCTTGACAGAGAACTCCCTGGCAGAGGTCATGCAAATAATATGGGCCATGGTAAGACTTATTATTGTTTTTGTCCTTCTGCCATGAAAATTCCTACTTGTAAATGGTCACAGACTGATAATAAAAACTGGTTTGAAATGGGTGCCACACAGATCGTAAATAACACAGGTAATGTGTTACAGAAGGCCAGTCTGTTGGAGATGCTCTTTTTTAGCTGTGATCTAGTTATTATGTCTTTGTAACCCTTATTTTTGGCTGGCACAATCAGTGAGGTATGAGAATTAATGCAGTTTTTTTGAGATACTGACCTTTGAACTGACAGCTGACTTCTTGCATATCATAATTATTGTTTACCCAATATTCACATAGGGGCCATTCTTGGAAGTATTATTTGGACAGCTTTTTGTAGAGTGCAGATAAATCCACATTGTCTAGGAAAAATAGTGTGAGTATAATTTCCTTTACAGAGTTGTCCTTCCTTCAGCCTATATTTGCCATACAATGCATTCAGGTGGAAAACTATTTTATTCCAGAAGAGGGCTGTTAAAAATATTTCTCCAAAGTGAAAATGTTATTGTAGCACACTCCATAAAAATAAAACTGCCAAGCATGTTTTTCATTGTCAAATAATATTGACAAGTATTCTGTGACTATAATTTCATTTAAATGTATCCTTTGCAATGCTTCCAGTGGAGATAAAATTAAAATCTGTGTTATAGTCCAGAACTCATTTAATTTAGATTTAATTAATTATGTATATTATCTCTAGCCAGACCTCCACGCTTTGTTCTGTGCTCATGTTAAAGAAATGTGACATGTTAAGTGTTCCACCTCAAACGTTGAAAGGTATAGGAACTCCAGGATTAAAATTCGCCTGAGCAAACAGTAGTGGGTGAAGTATTTGTGTGCATGCTACAGAACGATTCTAAATGAACAGTCATATTTTTTCCACTGGTCCTCATGTGATGAAGTGCACCAAAATTGCTACTCACTTTTCTCAGCAGCTGTTTGATATTCCATTTTTTTGTCTCTGTAGAGTGGGCCTGGATCTGCATTACTGCACTTTATGTAAACACTACTGTGTTACAGGTTTCAAACTCTCAGAGCTGCAGAAGGGTGCACTGATCTGACTGTGTCTTTCTCTGCTGTAGGTGCTGGTGAGATCTGAGGGGTAATGTGGTCAGAATGAAGGCTGCTGACAGCCTGAGGATCATATTAAAATCACCCATATGGAGCTGTGTGCTGCTTGATACCTGAATTACTACAAATTTGTTTCAGTGCTGCTGAGGTTGAAGCCTCAAGCAGATTTGGAGGTTACTCTGCCTCACCTCTCAAGCCCAGTAATTTTGCAATCTCTGTATAAATTAGCTGAAAAGGTATTTCTGAGGTGCTTTTGTACCAATCTGTCATTGTGCCTGCAACAGCCACGACTTCAGAATTAGATTCCATAATCTGAGCAAGTTTTGGCAGCATTAAATCACCATCCTTCAGGTAGCAAGTGTTCCCTTTAGTACCAGGGAGTGCTCATCTCTCTTCTCTCCTGGGGAGGGCAGTAGCAAATTTTGATTAATGAAGATCTTAACAAGGCTACAGTAGAGCCTCAGCTGCAAATGAAAAGAGGGTCCTTTGAAGTACCCTTGCATTCCAATGAGGGGAGCTTCCCTCATGCTGCGGAGTGCAGCATTCCCGTTTGTCAGGGAGCTGCAATGGTCCCCTCTTTGTGCCAGCCGTGCTAAAGCAATGCCATTATTCACGTGGGGCTGGACCTAACCCTCGGCTTCATTACGTATCCATGGGAAATAAATGGCTAAGGAGTATGACTGCAGCGGCACAATGGCTGATTTTCAAGATGTAAGGCAATATGTGTAATATAAATGCTCAAAAAAGACTGAGCCTTTAGTGCTGTTTTGCACAGACTTTCATGAAAAAGTCTCAGTATTCAGCAAAGGCAGCACTGACGGCATTCAAAATATGCTGCTTTAGGGCCCCTTGAAAATGTTTATCCTTCCCTACCTTTGTCTGAAGCACATCTGCTGTAGTTCAAATCCAAATGCAGTGCATTTGCCAGAGTTCAGATTAGATCTTTAATTAAGCTTTCATCCCCACTAGCACAGACAACAATGTCAAGTCTGTGGACCCCATGAGAAAATATAGCTTATTCCATTGGCTCCTGTGGTCTGCAACATTGTTAGCATGCTTAAAAGTGGCTGGGCTTTGCTGGGAGTGAATACTGTACCCTAAAGGAAATAATTTCTGGTTTAAATTCTGTTTGAAACATTATTTAAGCCAATTAAAATGTGTCCTTTAGGGATCTTGGCTGAGGTCTCTGTTGTTTGATCTCCAGGGTGCTCTGTGTTGCAGCTCCTCTGCTCTCCCCAGTCTGTGCAGAGTGGATGGGCAATGTGTGAAGGTGATGGGTGATAGTTGTAGTGTTTTAAGGCTGGAGATCTTAAGGTTTTTGCTTGAAGAGAGCAGATAAAAATACTTCCAGTGGGTCTGCACAGTAAAGGTCTCAGAGAAGCAACACCCGAATTCCCTTTGAGGGGCTCTGTAGTCACTGCCTTGGTTTAAGTGCTTCACAGGCACCATGACAGAGTAGTCTTAGCAAAGGCTGACCAAATAACTTTATTTCCTTTTCCCTCTCTCCTTTTCTTCTTTATCTTTTTTTTCTTTTGAGTCATAAAACTGCAAGCTTTTCTTTAGAGTCCTTTTCCCTCTCTCCTTGGTTTTGGAATCAGTCATGATAATTTTACAAGAGGGAAGAGCCAGGAGCCTTTAGCAATTCTGTTTTGTCTTTACCCACAAAGACTTTGCTTGTCACAGCCTGTTACAACACCCTCTTCCTTATCCACAGAGACTGAGCTGATGGCAGAGCAGTTTAGATTGTTTTAATCTAAGCTTTACGTGTCTCATGAAGCATATAGTTACCTCTCTGAGGTAGCTATTTGCCATTGGAGCATGATATTCCTCATACTTTAAAATAAAATTTGTTTATAGGAGCATTCATTTACTTCAGTGGATCACATCAGAGGAGCACAAAGATGGCCATGTCTCACCTGGGAAGCCCTTTCCTTGTCAAGCTTGCCCCTGGGCTCTCCTGCTGCCAGGTAACAGTTTGATATTAACTATCCCCATCTTTGTGAAATGTCCCTCACATGATGCAAACCAGGCATTCTTCATCCTCTAAATGTTGCTGCTGAGGGCTCTATATCAATACCAGTGGAAGGAGTTACACACGAATTCTTTGGGTGGACAGAGAAGAAGGCAATTTTTAATGTTTTGCTGCCAAATTTTTTATATCTGATTATTACTATTCTCTCCTAAAGCACCCAGCAGGTGACTCAGGTTTGAGGAAAATGCTCCAGGCTTTTGTGGACTGTGACAAAGGCATCTGGACAATGATAACAGGGCTCTATCAAGCAACCACTCTGTCTGCAGGCAGGAAAGTCACATAACCAGGGTTCCTATAGGACACCTGTGCTTTGAGGTCACTGTACACATCAGCTGTTGTTGGTGTGACCACAGAGAATTAGCTACCTCACTCCAGACATGTACTAAATTATAATTCATGGTTTGAGGAGGATGCTTTCTCAGTTGATCAGTGCAGTATTTGAAATTACATTTCAAAGTAACTCAAGTATTTAAAGTGTTTTTTTTATCAGATGTCTTGTGGCTCTGCAGAGGAATGTAAAAGCAACCAGCCAGGATAGTGGTTGATCTGAAAAACTAGAAAAGTACCAGGAAAAAATGAATCAGGAGGGAAAAAAATTAGAAAAATATTAGATGAGAACGGAAAATATAGATGGCATTATTTTCAACAAAATATGTATTTTTAAAACAAAATTTGAAGAAATATATTAAATATGAACAGCAACTCTTCACTACATTCACAGCTGTCCTTTTTATTTGTCCTTTTGGCCACTGACTAAAACTAATAGACACGGTTCAATTTCATAACTTTTTTCTTTCTTTTTTGGTCTTTCCCGAGGCTTTTTTTAATTTTCTATTGTGTAACTTTTCAATTCTTATGCCATACTGGGGAAAAGTTAAGTTGTGTAGTTGTGATGTGTTTTTTTCTGATACTGTATAATCCCTGCTTATTTAAAAAGTCAGAGAGAAGAAAAGGAAAAGACAAGAAAAAGCTTGACAAATAATTTTATTTTTTTTCTGTGAAAGGAGGAGGTATTAAAAAAACAAAATAAAGCTTAGACTGGCTGATTCATTTTTCAGACTCAGCGTAGAACAGAAACTGTTTATTCCACTTAAGAAAACTTTTTTCAAAAAGAAAAAAAGTCAGAAAAGAAGGAACTGCACTTAGAAGTCCCAACAAGTAGCAGAATTTTATTCCAGCAGGATCTGTGCTTCTTAGGTTGTATCTCATCTAAGGGACCAGAAACAAGTGCTAGCTTAGCTAAATCTCTTTTACTTGAAACTGCACCTTGGACTGCACACACCAGCGAGTTACCCGATCTCAGCTGAATAGTTGCAACTTGCAGCTGAGGAGTAGAAACCTCTGAAACGATTTGAGAACAGTGCCTTGAAATCTTGCAGTTCTTAATATTCATGTGATTTCTTAGTGTTATAAAACATCAGAAATAAAATAGATGCAGGATAAACTCAAGCAGAATGCTGCTGCAGGGAACTCAGAAGGCCTGAACCATCCCACTGAAGCCCTGCATGTTGCATTGCTCCTGGGACACCCAGCAGCCTTTGTACTCACAGTGAATTTGTTCAGACAGTTCCATCTCTCTTTTGTTGACTTTGATGCTGAATAGGTAAGCACCTTTCAGATTCAGATTAATTTATCTCAGAAGCCCTTAAAGCAAACTGGGCACCACTGATATGTGAATCAATGAATTATTCTGGTAAGATCTATTGCAGAGTTTGGTCTGCACTCAAAATAAACACAGATGCAGCGGGGATGCACATATTTTTCTCTACTTCAAAGTCAGAAAAGAAACAAATTTTATTATAAGTATGCATGTATTGAATGAATTTAAAGATCTTAGATCCAACAAAAGCTAGAGCAAATTCTTACCTAACTGTATGTGTCTGTCAGGAGAGTGTTTTTGAGGACTGGAAGCCTGGCTTTCTGCCACATTATCCCTGCAGACTTTTATTTCTGGGAAAGAGCAACGCGTAGGGGTTGCTCATTAGGATGTGTTATGTTCTCTGCCTATTAATGTGAGATGATGCCCTCTGTTGGATGTCCCACTGAGAGGATAAAAGGATCCACACAAAGAGATCTATGTTTATTATTAGCTTTACAAGTTCTTTAGCTCCAGTTGTTTAAAAAAATAAAAAGGAGTTGAAGGGTAACAGATTTATATTGTTCCTTTCTGGTTAATTGAAGCTTAGAAGTAACTTCTCTCTGCAGCTTCTTGTAGCTGAGTCTTTTTGTAGATGTAAGCTAAGAAACATCGTCATTTAGCTCAAGATTTTGGAGTTGTAGAAGCAAATTTCTAGTCCCAGCTCTCTGTTTATGGCTCTTTAATGGACACAATAGTCATTGCATAGTAGAACATGTAGACATAAAGAAGGGAGGTAACATTATTTCTTACTTAATGAAAACATAAATTTGTTTGAAAAGCTGTTTGAAAGACAAAAGCCATCTAAATTGTTTGGAGTGTAATTCTTCTAACAGCTCATTTTGGAAAGTGTGTATCTGCTGCTTTCTATTTCTTCAGCTTTTTGCTGGGGAGATGAGTTACATTAAAGTATTTCAATTTATTAATAAGTATCAAGATTATTTTATATGACATGATTTTCTTGAGTGGTGGTAAAATTAAATGTTGAAAGACTGAGTCTACCAGACCTGAAGCCAGATGATATTAAAAGGCAGCAGTGTGTTTTAACAGCAATATTTCTGCACAACTGATCCAGCTCTTGTTTTACCTTCATGAAGAAGAATTCAAGAATTATCAATATCAAGGCTTTTTCAGGGAAGTAAAAATACTGCAGTTGAAAAAAATTTAGTATTTGTGTGGAGAAGCAGGAAGGACTAAGGGGGAAAGAAAAATAAGTCTGAAAATCTTATTTCTTCCCTGCAGTTCTCAACTGAATTTTTCCCTGGGTATTATTAAAAAAAAAAATTAAATGTATAAGACTTACTCTGTATTGCAGGGGAGTGAACTGTGATTCTCACTGTTTTCTAATCTTTTCTGCCTCACAAGCAGCCTCATCCACATACAGTCTTTGTATTTTCTTCCCATTATTGGTCAATCTGCTTGTCTCAAGAGATGACTAGATTATTTTAAAAATCTGACTTCAGATCATATTCATTTATTTTGATTGTGGAAATAAAAGATCATAAGGCTTCTTTCATATGAGAATCTCAATGATTGCACTTCTGAGATTAACATGCCTATGAAACTGTCATATATTCAGCATTTGTAAAGAAAAATAATCTTTGAGTAGTTTCTAAATGCTTACTAAGAATGGAAGTCGTATCATTCAGTCTGCATCAGTTGATAGAGACAAGTTAAAAGTAAATTTTAAAAATAAGTTTTACTTTTAAATATAGTTTTGTCTTTTAACATGATACTACTTCTCAACATGCTGTAATTTCAAACATCCCCTTCTTTTGTGCCAAGTCTGTGCTTAGACTCATTGTGTCATTCTTTGTTATAAGTACATATATTTCTAGGTGCTGAATTTATTGCAGATTGATTATATAATTTTTTAAGCTTTTAATTAAAAACTCTTTCAACAGGTAAGATTTTGGTACCGGTTATCTCAGGATTCCCAGCTTTCTGTCTTTAAGAGGACTGCATTAAATGGAACCTTGGAAAAATTACGTGACATTTCAAGATTGGCTGAGATGAATTGGACAAAAGTGACTATACCTGTAGAAAGTGTGGCTGAGGAATTACCTTTTCAGGTAATTGGTTATCACATTTACATTTCTTTCAAAAAGATATTTTACTTGGCCTTTAGAATTAATTTACTTTTAATGATGAAATGTAAAAAGAGAATTTCTATTCTTTAATGCTCATATGAAAAAGAATTTAATTCAGCTTTTTCCACAGGTCCATCTATTAAACAGCCATTGTTTCAGTATTCTAAGCATTAGAATAACTTTTTGTAACAAACATCAAGGGACCCTAGAGATTTAGTTCAGACCCCCATTGGCAAGGAAACCTTTCATTTGACCAGGCTGGTCAGAGTTCCATCCAGCCTGGCCCTGAACATCTCCAGGGATGGGGCATCCACAACTTTCCTGAGCAAAATGTTCCAGTGCCTCACCACCCTCGAAGTAAAGGATTTCTTCCCAATATCCAGTATCTACTACTTAAGAGTAGTCTTAAACCTACTCTTTAAGTTTGAATCCATTCCCCTTGTCACAGGACATTTTGACACATGACAATTAGGTCATTCTAGAGCCTTCTCATTTTGAAGCTGATTAAACCCAGTTCTCTCAGCTGCTCCTCATAGCAGCGGTGCTGCATCCCTCTGATCAGCTTGGTGACCTCTTCTACACTCACTCCAACAGGTGCTGGGGACCCCAAGCCGGACACAATACTTTAAATGAGGTCTCACAAGGGCGGATTAGAGGGGCAGAATCCCCTCCCTGCCCTGCTGGCCACGCTGCTTTTGGTGCAGCCCAGGACACGTTTGGCTCTCTGGGCTGTGAGTGCACAGCTGGGTCATGTCCAGCCTCTCATCCACCAGCACCCCCAGGTCCTTCTGGGCAAGGCTGCTCCACATCCCTTCATTCCTTCATCCCCCAGCCTGTGTTGATACTGGAGGTTGCCCCAACCCAGGGTCAGCACCTTATACTTGGTCTTGTTGAACCTCAGAGATTCCCATGGCCCACTTCTTGACCTTGTCCAGGTCCCTCTGGATGGCATCCTGTCCTTCAGGTGTGTCAGCTGCACCATTCAGCTTGGAGCACCACTGCAAACTTGCTGAGGGTGCACTCGATCACAGTAATGGAGATATTAAATAACACTGGTCCAGATATGGACCCCTGAGGGGCACCACTTGTCACTGATGTTCATCAGGACTCTGAGCTGTTCACCACTGCCCTCTGGATGTGACCATGCAACCAATTCTTTATCCACCTAACAGTCCATCCATTAAATCTATCTCTCTCCAATTTAAAGAACAGGATGTTGTGGGGGCCATGTCAAAGGCTTTACAGAAGTCCAGATATGGGACAGCTGTAACCCTTCACCAGTGCAGTCAGTTCATCATAGAAGGCCACTGGGTTGGTTGGTACTTGGTGAAGCCATGCTGGCTGTCTTGAGTTACCTCCCTGTCCTCCAGGTGCCTTAGCATAACTTACAGGAGGATCTGTTCCATGGACTGCCCAGGCACAGAGGTGGGGCTGACAGTGCAGGTACTTCAATTTGCAATCCATCCCTACATTTATTGTACCACATTGCTAACTTCACCAGGCATAGTATAGATGAACACAATTGAATGGTGTTGTAAATCATCATATTTGGTAGCCATGAATAGCTAATTTAAGAAGATATATAATTTTTATATGTTCCAGCAGGCAGACTATTCAATAGCGATGACTTTTACTAGTTTTGATTGAATCAAGGTCATCTGGGTCGCATAACTTTCCCTAGGTAAAAGTAGTTATGGCTTTGACAGTTGAGGAGCAAATTTCTGACCTGACCAAATCTCAGTTGTAGTTTTTTCTAGCTGATTTTTTTCTAGCTGTAGGAACTATTTAGTTCCTGTGCAGATGCAGATAGATTATAAAGGAATATATAAATATGTGTGTATGTCTTTTCATCATGTCACCTTTAACGAACTAAATTTTTTTTTCTGTCTTTACAGATTATCTTGCGAGGTACTATTCTAACAGCAAATGCTACTGTTGCTATTGATGATATCAGTATAACAGAAGAATGTATAGTTATGAATAGATCACTTCCAGGAGTCAGCCAGGAAAGTACGTTTTCCCCCATGTCTTCTGTATATGTGTGATTTGACTGACAATTTGAAGTTACTTTTAATAAAGTAGAGGATAATCCGAGAAAAAATGTCCATATGCTGTAATCAATCATCTCCCTGGAAGTGTTCCAGGCTGGGCTAGATGGGTCTTTGACCCTGGCAGACCACATGATCTTTAAAAGGTCCTTCCCAATCCAAACCATTCTATGGTTCTATAAAGGCTTTCCTCCTTGTGTTATACATCAGCTGCTATAAGAAGTTTGCACTAATTCTGCAATGTAGAATTACTGTGTAGTACCTACTCACATTCATGTTTGGATGCAGAGGCAGAAGCAAACCATCCTATATTTTCCACTAAAGAGGAAATTCTGCTGCTTTACCTTTTAGGACAAGAGGTTTCTCCCCTCATTACTGCTAAATATCTGACATATAATAAAAGCCTACCAAACTTGTCTTTGTACTCACACTCTGTAGTTTTGAAGAGCTAATGGATGGAAACATAAAACAACATAAACTTCTGTCAGACTGCTGCTCCTGGTCCTCTTGATGCTAACAGTTGCCTTGCAAAAATGGCATGGACACCTGTGCAGTCAGGTGACTCTTGATGAGTTATAGCCATCAGGTGTCTGAATTTATAATATCCAAAAATTTAAAGGCATAATAGAGAATTAGTGCTGTGTATTTAAGGCTTCTCTGATCCCTATATATAGTGAGGTTGAGGTATTTAGAGATATTTATTTGCTTTAATTATTTAATTATTTTCCCTACAACTCCCTCATTTACCAGTTAATTGCAAAGGTACTGTTTTTAGAAGGGAGTTATTTTTTTAAAAATCCCTGTCTGAATAGAAATATTAGTATTTTAAAAAGTTGAGTTAAAAAAAGAATATGAAAAGCCATTCATCATTCCTCTCATTTACTTTCCAGAAATCTACTGAAGAAAAGCCAGTAGACTCTGGCTTTTTGTTTCCCCATTCGTTGAAATTTGTGGTGTTTTCTAGTGTGTAAGCTGAGGTACAGGCCAGTAATGCTGCAGCACCCAACTTTGGTTTCTTACAGCTTTCACTGTGACCTGAGCACAGAGAGAGCACAGCTACAGCAGAAAGGTTTGGTGAAAAACCTGCACTTGGATGTGAGGGAAAGAGCAGGGACCCACACCAGGCTCTGATCAAGAGCCTGGCTCTGTAACACTAGGGTGTATCTGATAACTTTTCACACAAGTTTGACTATTGTGGAGAGTAAGTTATAGTTTAGGACCATGAGACATTGAGATCAGCTGTATTTCTTATCAGCTGTGATAGAATCTAGCACACTGCATCGGCACTGCTTTGTTTCTTATGCTGAGCACGTTGCTATATTAAACAAGATAAAAAGCACTTCTTATAATTTTATATACTTGTGGGTTTACTTACATGTCTTTTTCTGATTTTTTAAGGGGAAACAGAATCTGAAGATGCTAATACTTCATCTTTTTACTGTCCAGAGGGACTTTTCTCGTGTGGGGATGGGCAATGTATTTCACCTGACAAATTTTGTGATTTTAAGGCTGACTGCCCAAGTAACCATGATGAAACCAAATGCCGTAAGTGAAAACTTTCAAATCTATGTTGCTAAGCTCCTGTGGCTGTTTCTTTGTCCTATTTGCAATGCTTTCATGACTTCATAAATCTTGCAATTTAATTAAAAGTAAAAGCTCTCGAGAAATAGTTACTTCACTTTGATTCTGTTCTGTGATTTTGCCCCTTTTAGTTTCTGTAGCAACTACTTCTCTCTTAGCATTAAAACCAGAATTAAAGGTTTTGATTAATTATTTAGTAGAAGATAGTCCTTTAAAATAGTATTTTATTTTATATTTCTAATGTGTTGGTCACAGACTTGCATTCAAATTGTGTGTTTTATATAATTACTTTTGATGTGAAGATGCCCCAGCAGTACCACAGCTGTACCACAAACCTGGTCACAGATATAATTTAAGCCGAGTCAGCATCTTCTGTTTGGATGTGCTGTGATTCCTGTCAGGGCCACATGCCTGGGCTTTCTCTGCATGGAAACAAACACGTGGGAAAGTAGAGGGAGGTGATGCATCTCGGAATCCCTCTCCACTGTACAGGCAGCAGGGAGCTTGGAACTCTTCCAGGGTCTCTAATATGCAGCTTCAAAAGTCTTTTTGATTCATTCAGTTTCCTGCTTTGCATAAGAAATCACAGTCATATTTTGCACTATTGAAAATTAGTCTCTTGCTTTGAACAATCAACTTGGCTGTAGAACTTGTGATGCATTTTAAAAAGGAGTTGCCATGAGCAATATTTAATGCAAGTTTTCTTTTTAAAAATAGAGCATGGTGCTTTCTAGCACATTCAACACAAATGACAGGAATATTGTAGACAAGATCCTCAAATTATTTTCTGTGCCCTGGTATGCATCAAAAAGCATAAATTTCTTTAGAGATGCTAATATAATTTCAGTGTTCGTATTTTATGGTTTTTATTTGCAGATTTGAGAGTTGTTGCTCAGATAAACAAAGATCTATTTGACTATTAGCAGGTAAAAGAAATAATTAAAGTTTCTATGCAATTTCTTTTCAATTTTAGTATTGAATCTTCTTCAGCTAGCGCACTAGTATTGAGGGGATTTAAGTGTTTAGAAAGACTGATATCCAAAATATATAGAACTTGGATATATAAAACTGCATTTTGTTTGGCTAGATAATAGTTTGCCTAGCTAAAATCAGAAATTACTATTAAATGTTCACTAAGCAGAGTATTTTTCCTCTTGTGGGCCAGAGTAAAGAAAATTCTGATGTTACTGCAGCACAGCTGAGGTTGGAAGGGATATCTGAAGATTCCTAAGTGGTTAAACAGCACCCTGCTCGAAGCAGGGCCACCAGAGCAGAATGCCCTGAGCTTGACAGAGTTGGGTTCTGAATACCTGTGAGAATGGAGACTACCCAGCCAGACAGGACACCCTGTTCCAGTGTTTGATCACCCTTGCAGTAAAACAATTGTCTGTTGCTTCTCATTTCACTGGGCACAACTGAGAGGAGTTTTTACTTCTTTACTTCTTCCCTGTCTATGTCACTCATATTAAAACTCTTAAAACACTTAATTTTCTAATTTACTTTATATTTTTTCTGCTTTACTTATGATTACACACCTTATGCAGCATTGAGTTATAATAGTCTGGGTTTTTCTCCCATTGCCCTTTTTAAATTCAGGCACAAGGTATTTGTTCTCTGACAAAATAATAACACTTCCAAATCAATAGTTTAATTAAAAAATTATCTAAGTAAATTAAGCTGCATGCAACTTTCACTTCACTGGGATAGCAATTGAAGTGGTAGCTTTTAATCAAGAAAATTAAGATCTGCTTTTTTGTGGCCGTTTGTATTTCCTTTTAACTGTTCAGGTTTTGTTTCCATTTCAACATTATACCTTTGGCCGAAGACAAATGTCCAGCTAGGTGTTCCAGCAGTTCTAGACCAGCCTTAATTACAAGTAGCCTATATGGCAACTGATTCTTTTTTTTTCTTTTTCCTCTAATTATATGACTAAAGAAGCTTTTTTCTTACCCAAGTTGCATTTGTCAAGACAATACATTAACAATGTCATGCTAAAGGTTAAACTTTGGAAGCATTATATTTATGGTGATCTTTGCTCTAAGTATATTGCTGACTTATAAATCATTGTTACTGCTGTGCTGGCTCAATGTGTGCTAGCACTACAGCTTGTAATGTGGGAAGCAGAGTGTAGGTACACAAAGGGCTCTGCAAGTAGTTTGGCAAGCTGACTGTTTCCAAGCAATAAACTTGCCTTTCAGCACATTAATCTGGTAGTCTACAGCACTAGAATAGCTCTTACAAATCTTTTCAAATAGCATTTAATCATCTTCATGCTTATATAGTGCGTCATTAATTTCTATATTTTCTTTGCATGTTCCTGTACTTGGATGCAAGCATTTCATATTTCTCAGACAATTTTCCTTATTTCTGAACTTGGTTAAACACAGATTTTTGTTCACCGCTTCCAACTACCTTGTTGCTTTCATCAATATTAACATTTTTTTTTCCACAGTGTTCCATCTAATAGTGATTGCATGCACCTTGACCCTGTTAATGTTTTTCTCTTTGTATGAGAACCAGGCAAGGATATTACATGGGCTTAAAATGTCTTTCAAAATATGTTTCATTTAAATGTTATAATTTTAAATTCCAGCAAGGTGATATAATTAGAAGCTTGGGTCCACTGAATAAGCCAGGTCTCCATTCAATTCTTTTAATTCTCAATATCAATTCTTGAGACATCTCTTGATTTTCACTTCCAATCAAACGGGTACCTTTTTTCTGTTAGGCCTGGAAGAATTCAGTTGAAGATTACCACTTCTGGGACTGCCAAAATGTTTTCTTTCTTGAGTGCTGCTACCCCTGACTATTACATCACAGCTTTTCTTCTACAGATGAAGAATTTACTATGGTCATAAAGCTTTTATACTCTTTTTACTTAATTTCCATGCATTAAAGCAGAGGAGAAATGCGACAGCCTTTTTCAAACTGCAGATTTACAGCAGTGACCTAACACACCTATCACACTGTGGGCTTGTGCTCTGGAAGATGAATGTGCAGCATGACTTCTATGGTCTACATCTTGTGCATTTGGTGTAATCTAAATGCTCACTTTTGCACCCTAAGAATTATGTTGATGGAACAAGAATAAGATCAGGTTGGAAAGCAATCTGGTAACATAAATATATTCTTGATATTCTGTCTGACCTTTGCTAATTTCTCCCTTATTCTCTGTCTTTTGTGCCTGCTCTTTTTTTTTTCTCTATCTACTTATGGTGTGGATTATCAGGAATAATTATATGAGTTTCTATATAAAAATAAATATAAAATACTTTAAATTTATATTAAAAATTACATTTATACAAAATATAGCATATTTTTGCAGGTTTATCACATGCTTTGAGGTGCTCCAACCTGACCTTGTGCCCAATCAGTGATGTATCAAGGTATTCCTGTTGCAGCACTGGCTTACCCACAGCCATAGATCCTTTGAGCTGTCCTTTCTCTAGCATGGACTTGCCCTTCAGAGTTACACCTGCAGCCACACAGACATAACCATGGCCACAGGTTCCTCAAGATGTACCTGCTCTGGCATGGGCTTATTCTCAGCCAGAGACACCCCAGGG